AATAAAGCCTTTCTTCCCTGGCAATACTCATTGTCTCAGTGATTGGCTTTCTGGGAATTGAGCACAAATGAACCTAGGTCAAACCCCTAGCATTCAGTGACAAAATTCTGGCGTCCTGACTTGGCAGCCACAGGCTGGGAGAGTTTTGGAAACCCTTCTAGCAAATGCTCAGCCATATTTGGCCAGAGGTTTTAGTCTCTCTCTCTCTTTGGCCCCAACTGCAGTCCTAATTGCCTAGTGTTATATATAAAATTTTCCAGTGCCACAGAAGAAGTAGCACTCAAATATTAATTTCCTCAGGTAGGGAATTTACTTCTATAGAAGGGTGTGGCTCACAGATGGAACAATGGTGAGTGCACACTTGGACGGGGGAGGAAGGGGTACTTATTCCTGAAGGAAGTCACCCCTATAGCTGTGTTGTTCCCCTATTGGAGAGGGTTAGACCCCACAGTGAAGTCTAATTCTGATTGGCTATTTTAAAGGCAGCAGGGATATGAGCTAGAATGGCAGGGTGGGTAGTTTGGCAGGAAGGATGGTTCTGGGCAGGTCAGAGCAGGTCACGAGGGGTCAAAGCAGGTGACCAGAGCAGGTGACCGGAATGAGTCGGGACAGAGCAGGGGACCAGGGGAACAGATGTGAACTATTGATTAGAACTGGTGGAAAAGGTTGTTTACTGAAACTACAAGGAAGTTAAACTTTAAAATGGACACTTAAAGAATAAGAGACCTGAACACTGACATACTGATTTTTTGAAGAGAAACTTGGGGTTCACTTATCTAATACTTGGAAGAATATTCTTTGAAATTTGACATCTGCATCTGGACAGGTGAGTGTCTTTTGTGGGTACCAGACAGTAGGAGCTGCTTCTGTCAAATTGGGGGATTCTGAAGGAATTTCCATTTGTTGCAGGTTAGACAAGCCCAATCCACTAATGTAGGAGTGGAAAGCACTCTATTTCAGTTCGGACACTTTGGGGGCTTGTTAATTACTACTGTAGTTAAACTGCTTTTTGTTTCGTTTTGTTCTGTTTTGAGATGAGTCTCGCGCTGTTACCTGGGCTGGAGTGCAGTGGTGCAATCTTGGCTCACTGCAACCTCCACCTCCGGGGTTCAAGTGATTCTCCTCCCTCAGTCTCTCAAGTAGTTGGGACCACAGGCATGCACCACTACACCCAGCTAATTTTTGTATTTTTAATAGAGACAGGGTTTTGTCATGTTGGCCAGGCTGGTCTTGAACTCCTGACCTCAAGTGATCCACCTGTTTTGGCCTCCTAAAGTGCTGGGATTACAGGCATGAGCCACCACCCCCAGTCTAGATTGTATTTTGATAAGTGTTTGTGAGTGTGTGTGTGTGTGTCGACATAGTCATAGAAAATCAAAATTTGACCCCCCCCCCAAAAAAATAAAATGAATCAATAAATATATAAAACAAAATTCAACCTCAGAATGCAGGCTGCTTGAGTAAATTCTTCAAAATTGATAAATCATATCTTACAACTAGATTCATTTTGCTATCAAATGGGAAAGGAGGATGAAATTCCTGATGCCTAAGCTTTTATGCTCCTTTATCAGAATAAACCTGGTCAAGTTAAATGTAAAGTTTTGATGCCACGGATGAAGAAGGGTGGTGAATCTGCACTTTGCCCTGTGGTCCCCATGTCACCAGCAGAGAATAATCCTCCTTAGATGAGGAAGTATGGGCTGCTACAACTTCTATAACCCCAGCCCAGCCATCTCAGCACTCTCCACCAGCTGCCTTGCAGTCAGCTTCAGTCTCTTCGATGGCTCCAACCCCTGAGACTTCCAAACCCTGCAAAACCCTTTCCTGACTCCTGTTAGCCTTCTCACTTATGGACCAATGACTTGCACCCTAGTTCTGCCAGGTCTTCTCCCATTTTTTCCTTTCTCTCTCCTTTCACCAAGGAGACATCTGGGAACCCCAGAGAAATGGTCTTGTCCTCTTGCACCCATCAGAGGACACAATTTGGCTCAGCTCTGCTACTGTTCCCTACAGGGCAATTCCCTCTGAGACCAGACTCTATTGGGGGTTGAACTGAAGAAGGACAGCCTGCTGGAATGATATGAACTTACATAATTGTAGGCAGAGCAAACCGGCCTATAGGGATGACCTGAAACATGTAAGTAACCTCTTTGAGTCTGTTTTCATGACTCATCACCCCACATGGGCTGATGTACAGCCTCCTTAGAGTCTTGCTGGCATCTGAAGAGTGTCATGTAGGGCTAGAAAAGGCTCAGGAGAAGGCTGATCGGTTACACACAGGAGATCCTAATAATGGGGTGAGGACCGGTAATAGTCTGGCAGTGCCCCTCCATGACCCCAACTGGAATCTGAACAACAGGGTTTTGGGACTGTTTTCTGCTAGGGCTCTGGAAGGGAGTCCCTCAAACCAGAAGTTTAAGCAAGGTGCAGGAAATTAGAAGAGAAGTAGATGAGAAGCCATCAGCATTTTGGAAAGAATTTTGGAGGTTTACCCAAAATATTCAGATGTAGGCCAGGCACCGTGGCGTGTGCTTATAATCCCAGCACTTTGGGAGGTCGAGCCAGGTGGATTGCTTGAGGTCAGGAGTTTGAGGCCAACCTAGTCAACATGGTGAAACCCTGTCTCCACTAAAAATACAAACAATTAGCTGGGTGTGGTGGTGTATGCCTGTGTAGGTGTATGCCTAGCTACTCAGGAGGCTGTGGCAGGAAAATCATTTTAACCTGGATGGAGGGGGTTGCAGTGAGCTGAGATGGTGCCACTGCACTCCAGCATGAGTGACAGAGTGAGACTTCAAAGAAAGAAAGAGAGAAAGGCAGGGGGAGGGAGGGAGGGAAGGAAGGAAACAAAGAGAAAGAAGGGAGGGAGGGAGGAAGAGAGGCAGGGGGGAGGGGAAGGGAGGGAAGGAAGGAAGGAGAAAGAAAGAAAGAGAGAGAGAGAAAGAAAATAGAAGAAATATGCAGATGTAGATCTGACAGTCCTAAGAATTCCAGGTTAATTAGTATGAACTGTTTGTAATATGCAGATGATATCTTGATAGCCAGTGAAACAGAGGGTAACTCCATCCTCCATGCCATCAAAGTCTTACATTTCCTAGCAGATAAAGGGTACAAAGTTTCTAAGAAAAAGGCATAGATCTCACATCCCATCATTCAGTACCTGGGATTCAAACTATGGCAAGGGACTCATAATCTTCTCTCAGATCACAGAGGCAATAAATCAGGTGGCAGTCTCCAGTACCCCTAAACTATGTGGTTCCTTAGGGATGCCTGGATTTTGTCAAATTTACATCCCTAACTTTAGGTTAATAGCCAAACCTCTCTACGAGACTTTAAAATGAGAAGAAAGGGACTCCCTTTCTTGGAGTGGAGAATGCCGAAAAGCCTTTCTAACCGTCAAAGAGAAATTGATGACAGCCCCTGCCCTGAGTCTCCCTGACCTACACCAACCTTTTGATTTATTTGTTCAAGAAAAACAGGGAATTGGACTTGGAGAATTAACTCAAGACCTTGGAACCTTAAAATGTCCCATGGCCTACTTTACAAAACAGCTTGACAAGGTAACTAAGGGCTGGCCTACCTGCCTAAGGGCAGTGGCTGCCACCTGTGATATATTGCAGGAAGCTCAGAAGTTTACCTTTGGGCAGCCCATGAAAGTACATACTATGCATTCTGTGTTTCCCCTACTCTAGCAGAAGGGAGCTATTGTCGACTGCCAGGGCTGGAAAAGCACCAAGCTATGCTTCTAGATAGATCAAAGATAACTCCTTAAGTTATTTCTACTCTGAAACCTGCCACCCAGCTACCAGGGAACCTCCAGCTCCTGTTGATGATCGCATTCAAATAATTGTTCAAGTTTGTTCCAGCAGACTGGACCCCATGGATTTGCCATTAACAGAACCCAACCAAGAATTCTTCACTGAGGGAAGCAGTTTCATGGAACAAGGAGTCGGGAGGGCCAGGCTGGGTTGAGGCTTACTTCACCAGGACTGAGAAAGCTGCCAAAGTGGTAAAGGCTCTAATGAAGGAAATAATTCCTCCATACAGATTGCCACAAACTCTCCAAAGCGACAGTGAAGCCACCTTTTTTTTTTTTTTTTTTTTTTTTTTTTTTTTTTTTTTTAAGCAGGATTTCACTCTGTCGCACAGGGTACAGTGCAGTGCTGCAATCACAGCTCACTACAACCTCAACCTTCCTGGCTCAGGCGACCCTCCCACCTCAATCTCCCAAGTAGCTAGGACTACAGTCACGCACCACCACACCTGGATAATTTTTGTATTTTTTTTGTGGAGACAGGGTTTTGCCATGTCGCCCAGACTGATCTCAAACCCTGAGCTCAAGCAATCTACCCACCTTGGCCACCCAAAGTGCTAGGATTACAGGTGTGAGCCAGCACGCCCAGCCCAAAGCCACTTTTATAGCCCAAATAATCCAGGAAGTATGGCACCTTCTGAGTATTAATTAGAAACTGCATTTGTCTTGGAGACCCCAATCTTCTGGAAAGACTGAAAGAATAAATAAGACATCAAGGAGTTGCTTTCTAAAGTTTGCCAAGAGACAAATCTTACCTGGAAAAAGGTCTTGCCCCTTGCCCTGCCATGACCAGTAGGGTTTTTTTCTAGGTATTCAAGGCTGGTTCGATATTTTTAAATCAACCAAAGTAATCTACCAGATTAATAGGCTAAAGAAGAAAAATTACATGATCATATCATTTATACAGAAAAAACATTTTATCAAAATTCAAAATCCAATCATGAGTTTTTTTTTAAATACTCTCAGAAAACTAGGAATAAGAGAATAATTTCTTCAATTTGATTTTTTTTAAACCTGCCAAAAACCTACTGCTAACATTTTACTTAGTGGAAAAAGAGTGAATGTTTTCCTCTAACATCAGGAACAAGGCAAAGATATCCACTCTCACCACTCTTATTCAACATAGTATTGGGAATTCAAACTAATGAAATAAGGCAAGGACATTAAGTAAAAATACAGACTAGCAAAGAAGAAACAAAACCATTTATATTTACAGATGACATGATTGTCTGCATACAAAAATCCCAAGGAATCCACCAAAAACAAAAACGAAAATGAAACAACTCCTAGAATGAATGAATGGGTACAGTAAGGTCACAGAATACAGGATTAACACACGAACCAGTTATCTTTCTGTATACTACCAATAAACAAGGGCCAGTAAAATTAAAAATATAAGACCATTTATAAATGCTCCAAAATAATGACATGCTTAGGTTTAAATCTAACAAAACATATGCTAAAATTATTTGCTGAAAATTATAAACTACCTATAAAAGAAACCAGAGAAGATGTCAGAAGAGCAACATACTGCGATCATGAATCGGAAGACTCAAAAGACGTGAGTGTCACAAATTGATATTCAGATTTAATACAATTTCTATCAAAATCCCAGCATGCTATTTTGTAGTAGATGTAGACAAGATTTCCATAACATTTGTATGGAAAGCAGAGAACCCATAATGGCTAAAAACAATTTTGAAAAAAAGAATAAAGTAGGAGAAATCAGTCTACCCAGTTTATAACTTCAAGATTTATATACAGCTATAATGATCAAGACTATGCTGTATAGGAAAGAATACATTCAAACCACAGCACCTGGTGGAAGGAGAGACACATAGATCAATGAAATAGGATAGAGAACCCAGGAATAGTCCCACACAAATATGCCCAACTGATTTTTTTTTGTTTGTTTTTGAAACAGGATCTTGCTCTGTTGCCTTGGCTGGCATTGCAGTGACATAATCATGGCTCACTGCAGCCTCATCTTTCTGGGCTCAAGTGACCCTTTCACATCTCAGTCTCCCAAGTAGCTGGGACTACAGGTGCATGCCACTATGCCCAGCTAATTTTTGTGGGTTGTTTTTTTTTTTTTTTAATAGAGACTGGATTTTGCCATGTTACCCAGGCTGGTCTCAAACTCCTGGGCTCAAGAGACCTGCCTGCCTTGACCTCCCAAAGTGCTGGGATTACAGGGTTGAGCCACCATGCCTAGCCCAACTGATTTTTGTTAAAGGTGAGAAAGCAATTCAACAGAGGTGCAATGGTTTGAACATGTTCCTTCCAAAATTCAGGTATTAACATTTTATGGCCAAAGTGATTGTATTAATAGGTGGGGCCTTTCAGAGGTAATAGTTCATGAGGGCTCAAATGGGATTAAGTCCTGTGTAAAAGAGTCTTCTCTTCATGCAGCATCCAGCTTGCTTGCCCTTCTGCCTTCCAGTATGTGAGGACACGTGATCCTCCCCTCCGGAGGAGGCAGCAAGCATGGCACCATCTTGGAAGCAGAAAACAATCTTCACCAGACAACCAAACCTGCAGGCATCCTGATCTTGGACTTCCCAGCCTCCAGAACTAAATAAAATTTAGCTCATGAGGAATAAAGTTCCATTTTTTGTAAATTACCTAGTCTCAGGTATTTTTGCTATAGCATCACCAATGGACTAAGACAGGAGGAAAGAGAGCCCTTTCAATAAATGATGCTGGAATAACAGGACTCCCATGGGCAAAAACATGAACCCCAACCTAAACCTCACACCTTATACAAAATTAACTCAAAATAGATCACACACTTAAATATGAAACACATAATGACAGACTTTTTTAAAAACACCATAGAAGAAAATCTTTGGGATCTAGGGCTAGGCAAACAGTTTGCAGACTTGACACCAAAAGCATGATCCAGAAGAGAAAAAGTTGATAAAGTAGTGTGTTAATTTCCTATGGGAACTATAATAATTACTACAAAATTAGTGGTTTAAAACAACAGAAATGTATTCTCTCACAGTTCCAGAAGCCAGAAGTCTGACATCAGTATTACTGGGCCCAAATCAAAATGTCAGTAGGTCTGTGCTACCCTTGTTGGTTATAAGAAAGGATGCATTCCTTGCTTCTTCCAGTTTCTGGCAGCTAACAGAGTTCCATAGCCTGTGGTTATATCATTCCAGTCTCTGCCTTTGCAGTCACATTGCCTTTTCATCTTCCATCAGTACTGAATCATCCTCTACCTCTCTCTCACAAGGATACTTGCGATTACATTCAGGGCCATCCCAATAATCCAGGATAACCTTCTCATTTCAAGATCTTTAACCTGCTGGGCATGGTGGTTCATGCCTATGATCTCAGTACTTTGGGAGGCTTGAGGCAGGAGGATCACTTGAGCCCAGGAGTTTGAGACCAGCCTGGACAATATAACAAGACCGAGTCTCTACAAAAAAATTCAAAACTTTTAGCCAGGCCTGGTGGTGCCCACCTGTAGTCCCAGCTACTCAGGAGGCTGGGGTGAGAGGATTGCATAAGCCTGGGAGTTTGAGGCTGAGTGAGCTGCAATGTACCAGTGCACTCCAGCCCAAGGGACAGAGTAAAACCCTGTCAAACACACACACACACACACACACACACACACACACACACACACCTTTAACGTAATCACATCTGCATTCACATCTGCAAAGTTCCTTTTTTTTTGGCCATAAAATGTACCTTTACATGTTCCGGGGATTAGGATGTATACATCTTTTGAGGGGCCGCTATTCAGCCTACCACAATTGGACTTGATCAAAATTTTACATTTTTTCTCTGCAGAAGACCCAACAGAATGAAAAGAGCAGCTACAGACTAGAAAAGATTTGCAAACTATGTACCTGACAAAGGACCAGTTTCTGAAATGTGTAAAGAACCCTCAAAACTCAAAAATTTTTTAAAAATCCAATTAGAAAATGGGCAAAAGACATAAAGAGATATTTTACTAAAGAGGATATACAGATGGCAAAAAGCATATAAAAATGTTCAACTTCATTAGCTATGAGGAAAGTGCAAATTGAAACCATAATGATACATCACTACACACCTATTAGAATTACTAAAATAAAAAAAAATAGTAACTGTACCAAATGCTAGCCAGAAAATAGGGGAAACTCAATCATGCACACATTGCTGGCTAGAATGTAAAAGGGTACAGCCGCTGGGGAACAGTTTGGCAGTTTCTTTAAAAACTAAACATGCAACTAACCATTCAAACCATCAGTTGCACTTCTGGGCATTTATCCCAGAGAAATAAAAACTTATGTTCTTCATACAAACACCTATAAACAAATCTTCATAGCAGCTTTATTCATAATAGCCCCAAATTGTAAACAACCCACTTGTCCTTCAACAAGTGAATGGTTAAACAAATTGTGCTGTATCCATACAGGGAACCGCTATTCTGCAACAAAAAGAAACAAACTATTGATACTTGTAACAACTTGGATGACTCTGCAGAGAATTACACCAAGTGGTAAAAAGAATCCCAAAAGCTTACATATTATTTGACTTCATTTACATAACATTCTTGAAATGACAAAATTATAGAAATGGAGAACAGATTGGTGGTTGCCAGAGGTTAAGGGGAGGGTGTGGCTGAGGACCAAAGGGGTGTGGTTAGGAAAGGGGAAAGGGGATTTTTGTGCCGGTGAAAATGTTCTGGACCTTGGCTGTATATATATATATATTTTTTTTTTTGAGACATGGTCTCACTCTGCCATCCATAGTAGAGTGCAGTGGCGCAATCACAGCTCACTGCAGCCTTGACCTCCAGAATTCAAGCAATCCTCCCACTTCAGCCTCCCCAGTAGCTGGGATCATAAGCAGACACCACCCTAATTTTGGTATTTTCTGTAGAGATAAGGGCTCACTATATCGCCCAGGCTGGTCTCAAACTCCTGGTCTCAGATGACCCACTTGCCTCAGCCTCTCAAAGTGCTGGGATCACAGTCATGAGCCACTGCACCCAGCCTTGACTGTATTAATAGGAGTATTTTGCTGGTGCTATTGTACTAGAGTTTTGCAAGATGTTTCCATTAGAAGAAACTAGGTAAAGTATACATTATTTCTTACAATTGCTTGTGAATCTACAATTATCTTAAATTTACAATTATCTCAAAATCAAAAGTTTACTTTTTAAAAAATATATACAAAATGCATACCCAGATTTTATACTAGATTTCACAGAAATGAAAATCATTAAAATTTTTAAATTCTGCTCTTCAAAAGACACCATTAAGAAAATGAAAAGTCAAGTCAGACACTGGGGGAAATACTTGTAATGCATATATCAAACAAAGGACTAGTATCCAGACTATATAAAGAGCTTTTATAATTCAATAAATACATTAAAACCACAGTGAGATGGGACTTCACAACCATGAACATGGCTAAAATGCAGAAGTCTAACTTAAATGCCAAGTGTTAGCAAAAATGTAGGACAACCAAACTGTCACATATTGCTGTTAGGAATATAAAATGGTACACATATTTTGGAGAACTGCATATCAGTCACTCCTAGATAAATACTCAAGAGAAATGAAAGCATGTATTGACACACAGACTCATATAGAAATGCTCTTTCATAATAGCCCTAATCTGGAGACAACCCAAATGTCCACCAACAGAGAAATGGATAAACAAATTGTGGCATATATAAACAATAGACTAAAAACAGTAAACTATTCATACACACACAGACATGGATGAACCTCAAAACCAGTGTGCTGACAAAGGAAGATAGACACAAAAGACTATACCATATGGTTCCATTTGTATGAAATTCTAGAACAGGCAAAGCGAATCTATAGTGACAGGAAGCAGATCAGCAGTTGCCTGGGGCTAGGTAAGAAAGAGAGAACTGGTCAACATGGTGAAACCCCGTCTCTACTAAAAATACAAAAAATCAGCTGGGCATGGTGGAGCATGCCTGTAATCCCAGCTACTCAGGAGGCTGAGGCAGGAGAATTGCCTGAACCCAGGAGGCAGAGGTTGTGGTGAGCCGAGATCTCGCCATTGCACTCCAGCCTGGGTAACAAGAGCGAAACTCCGTATCAAAAAAAAAGAAAGAAAGAAAGAGAGAACTGACTGCAAAGGAGTAGGGGGAAATCTTGGTGGTGATAAAATTTTCTATATCTCTATTATGGTGGTGGGTATAAATATGTGTCAAAATCACCCAACTGTACTCCAGTTGTGTGTTTTATTTTAAGTAAATTATAACTCAATACGGTTGATTTTGATTTTTATCTTTTTCACAGGGTCTTGCTCTGTCACCCAGGCTGGAGTACAGTGGCACAAACATGGGTCACCACAGCTTCCAAATCCTAGACTCAAGTGATCCTTCTGCCTCAGCCTCCTGAGTAACGGACTACCAGCTAATTTTTATTTTATTTCTGTACAGATGGGGTCTCACCATGTTGCCCAGACTTAGGTTAATTTATTTATTTATTTATTTATTTTGAGACAGAGTCTGGCTCTGTTGCCCAAGCTGGAGTGCAGTGGCACAATCTCGGCTCACTGCAACCTCTGCCTCCCAGGTTCAAGTGATTCTCCTGTCTCTGCCTCCTGAGTAGATGGGATTAGAGGCAACACCACCAAGCCTGGCTAATTTTCGTACTTTTAGTAGAGACAGAGTTTTATCATGTTGGCTAGGCTGGTCTGGAACTCCTGACTTCAAGTGATCCACCCACCAAAGCCTCCCAAAGTGCTGGAATTACAGGCGTTAGCCACCATGCCCGGCTGCTTATGTTGATTTTTAAAAGACAAAATACAAGCCCATATTTTGCTTTAGATTCAACAGGCACAAAAGTAGTGTTTCAATGCTTAAACTGGGTGCTCGTTAAAGTTTCTAAACGCTTACTCTAAATGCCTGTATTTAATCCTTCCTCCCCTGTGGATGTGGAGCAATTTGAATTTCTGGCTGTGGTCCGAGGACCACACTTTGAGTAGCACCACCCTACTCCATCTTGCCAACTACCTGGGTTTTCTAACAGGCATCCCCACAGCCTCCCCTTCCAAACCTCACTCTGGAAAGCTGGAAGGCCAGAGACAGGGGGTTCCAGGCTGAGCCCAGGGTCACTGGATCTTGAACACCGGCTTGTGCTGCAGCCGTAGCACTCGGTACGTGTTGAGGCCGGGCACGTCGAAGCCAGGGGACAGCCCGTGGTGATCCAAGGGGTAGAAGTTGACTAGCTGCCCATGCTGGGCCTCGAGCGAGAGCCAAGCGTCGCCAAGTGGCAGAGCGCAGGGGAACTCGCGGGCCACGTGCAGCTGGAAGACGCGGCCGCGCAGGTGGCGCAGCGCTAGGGTGCGGAATGCCGGGGGCACCAGCGCCTCCACGCGCGGCCCGAACTGGCGCAGGCGCAGCTCGCCCGCCGGCCCAGCGCGCACCTCGTAGAAGGTCAGGTTGGCGAAGGTAAAGTAGCCGGCGAAGGGGCGCGCGTTGGGCGGCGGGGCCGGGCCGGGCTCGGCCTCCCGGAGGGCGCGCTCCAGGGCCGGCAGGAGCTCGTCGTAGACCCGCGCCACCAGGTCGGGCCCGGGCGGCCGCGGCCCAGCCAGTAGCAGCACCAGGCCCAGGTGCAGCGGGGGCACCAGCGAGAAGGTGGCGGCGTAGCCGTCCAGGTCGCCGTCCTTGCGCACCACGCGGTAGCCCCGCTGCGCGTGGAACTCCCACGGTGTGCCCGTCTCGTTGGCGAAGTAGGCGCCCGGGCAGGCCAGCAGCGGCGCCAGCAGCGTCTTGGCCGCGTCGGGCCGTAGGAGCCGCCGGGGCCCGCCCCCCAGGAGCGCCACGGCCAGCTTGGCCAGGTCGGCGGCGGTGGAGTACATCTGGCCCGACGGCCTGTACCAGCCCAGGTCGTAGAGCGGCGCCGGCCGCCCGCTGCCGTAGAAGCCCGCAGCCAGGCGCGCACGCACGACGGGCGTGAGGTCGAAACCGGTGTCTGCCATCCCCAGGGGCTGCAGCACGTTCTCTGAGACCCAGCGCTGGTAGTCGCCCTGGGCGGTGTGAGCTGCTAGGACGTGGGCCAGGAGCGAAAAGGCCAGCGTGCTGTAATGGCACCTGGAAGTAGAGCAGTGGCAACTGGGATGGGGCCCCTCCTCACCTGCCCACCAGTTTCATGGGACTGGGCGGGGCTGGGAAGGAACCTGCTTCCCTGCATCCTAGGTGGTCAGACCTGGAAGAGACTTCAGGGCATTGACTCTCTTCTACATCTGGGAAGACCAAGGCCCAGAGAGGGGCAGGGAATTGCCCAGGGTCATATAGCAGGTTGGAAGAGGACTGGGCTCAGCGGTGCACCTGGCAAAGTTGTCAGACACATCTTATTGGCCCTTCACACTTTAGTATGATTTACTTTATCGAATGAAAAATTAAAGGCTTTCATTGCTCTGGGGAAACAAAAATGATAGTGACCATGTATGAGGCAAGGTCTCACCCCTCCCTTCTTCCAGGCTGGGGCAGACACCAGTAACCAGCAAGGGGCCTGTTTTCTTTCCAGGAGCAAATACCGTTTCAGAATCTCCAGAATAGTGCCTCAAGAAGATGCAAGGATGGGTGAAAATTCACAAATTCTACTAAGCATTCCTGAACTCTAAGCCAACTTCCTTATTTTTGCAGAGGAGGAAGATTTGTTAGATGAGTTTCACAGAAATAAAGTGCATCACCCAAGGTCACATTGCAATAAATTATTCGCAGAGCTGAAAGGAGGACTCCAGCCTGAAGATGTCCAGGCATCTCCTCTCTCTGCATCACCTGGATCATTTCTTCCTGAAGGGAAGTGGGCCCTGAGGTTCAGCATTTGGAGAAGCAGAGGGACAAACTTGGAAATGGATCACTGCCCAGAGGCAGGCCCCTGAAGCCAGAGAGTGCTAGCTTTCCTCTGTCCGGCCCCACAGTCCCACTGCTCCCAGAGTGGGGCTTCTCTGTTCAGTGGCCACCCAGCTATCCACTCCCCATCTGGTCAGCAACCCATTTATTTCCAGCCTGGTAAAATCTGTATTCACCTTGCTTATTTGCTCACAGTGTCTCCCCCACAAGAGTGCAAACTCCATGAGGAGGGCCGGGTTGGATCTCTTTGCTGCTGCACCTCTGTGTTTAGCACATTCTGGGCAAAGTAGGTGCTCAATAAATGTTAGGTTGGTGAATGGAAAAAAAAACATTCCATTCAAACAGAAATGGATTCTGGGCCCAGCTCTCCCCTGCCTTCTTGGCCTCCCCTCTCTAGGCCTTGGCCTTTCCAGCTGGGGAGCGAGTCTCTCTGATCACCTAGGATGAAATGATGTCAGCTTTTTCCCAGGCAGGTGTGTCTCCCCAGGAGGCTCCTAATGTGAGGCTGGGCATCAGGGTACAGTCCTCACCTGGTTCCTGGGTCCACCACCAGCACATCATCCTTGAGCAAGTTCAGGGCCTCCTGGGTGCTGCCCTTCCACAGCAGTGAAGTGGAACGGAGCCTTCTGGGCAGCCCTAAGGAGGAGCAGTGATCAGACTTACCAGGTTCAGCTGAGGGTGGGATGATGGGCCCCTGGGTGCACTCCCTCCCCACCTTCCATGAGTTAAGAGATAATAAAATGTTTTTTAAAAAAATAAGGGCCAAGCACTGTGGCTCACGCCTGTAATCTCAGCACTTTGGGAGGTCGAGGTGAGGGGATCATGAGGTCAGGCGATCAAGACCAGCCTGCCCAACATGGTGAAACCCTGTCTCTGCTAAAAATACAAATATTAGTAGGGTATGGCGACGTGTTCCTATAATCCCAGCTACTCAGGAGGCTGAGGTAGGAGAATGGATTGAACCAGGACCCAGGAGGCAGAGGTTGCAGTGAGCTGAGATCACACCTCTGCACTCCAGCCTGTGCTCCAGAGTGAGAGTAGCTGGGATTACAGGCACAAGCCACCACACTGGGCTAATTTTTGTATTTTTAGTAGAGACGAGATTTCACCATGTAGGCCAGGCTGGTCTCAAACTCCTGACCTCAGGTGATCCGCCTGCCTCGGCCTCCCAAAGTGCTGGGATTATAGGCGTGAGCCACCACGCCCGGCCCTTAATATTTTTAAGAGTATTTTCTGTGAGCTGTCAATTCTGTTCCTCTCCTTTACCCATTTTTCTTTTGGGCTGTTGGTCTTTGTAATAATTTGTAGGTGACTTTTATATATTAAAGGGAATTAGGTCTTCCTTGTAGAATTGTTCACAAATATAGCCTTTTTTTTTTTTTTTTTTTGAGAGGAGATCTTACTATGTCATCAGTCATAGCTCAGTGTAGCCTTCAACTCCTGGGCTCATGTGATCTTCCCACCTCAGCCTCCCAAGTAGCTAAGACTACAGATGTGCACCACCTCACCTGGCTATTTTTAATTTTTTTTTAGAGATGGGGTCTCACTATGTTGCCCAGACTGGTTTAGAACTCCTAGTCTCAAGTGATCCTCCCATCTCAGCCTCCCAAAGCACTGGGATGGCAGACATGAGCCACTGAGCCGGGCCACATACTGACTCACCACTGACTTGCTCTTCTTGCCTTATCAACTTGATTTTGACCTGCCAACTCATCCTGATGTTTCTACTTGGTCTGTTTCCAGGCTTCACTTCAGCTTTTACCTCGAGAGAGATTTCTTTCCCTGGCCCACCACCCACATCCAGTGAGAGGGAGGTAGGGCCAGTTCAGGAAGCAGAGGCGAGAGTGAGCCCATTTCAACCAGATGAGAACCTGTTCCTCAGCTTCCCCATCTGAAATGGTTTGGGTCAGCCCAAGTCAGTTCTGAGACTCACCTGAGAGCTGGCTGGCCATCCTGCGAAGGGTGACAGGTGAAGGCCTTGAAGCAGGGCCCACCTCCTCCAGCCTGTCCCTCAGGCCCTGACGTTCAGGGGCTGATTCCAGGCCCAGCGGGTTGTTAATGGTGAAGGCGCTGGCGTACCGCTCCAGAGGGTCATCTAGGGAGGCCACAACGCCCTCCTCCCACAGACGGTACAGCATGAGCACGGGGAAGATCTTGGAGATGCTGGAGATCCTAGATAATGTTGGGAACACAGGGGGTCAAAGGGCATCCTGTTGGCCCCACAACCCACATCCACCCTGTGCCCCCAGCCTGCAACTTTTTAGTATTCTAGAGAAGCACTACATCCCTGCTTAAGTCAACATCTCCAGCACAAATGAACCAGCCTCTGCGGAACTGCCTTTGGGATGCTTGAGAACACGGCCAGAGCAAAGGGGCTGAGGTAGGATGGATATCCTGTGCCAGGCTCTTTACCAGGCATTTCCCATTCGGGAACAGACCTGGGTTTGGATGGTGCCTCTACCTCTCTACCCCTGTGGCCTTGGACAAGTTTCTAGACCCAGCTGAGATTCCATTTCATTGCCTGCTTCACCGGTTGAATTAATAAAAGGATGGGATGAGGTTGTGTGTGTTAAGTGCCTGTCTACATACCTGTGAGGTTCTAAGTGCTCAATATGTGAGAGCAGATAGAACTGTTGGCCCCATGCCTGGCACAGAGCAGGTGCAGTTTCAGTGCAATTCCCTCTGGACTCCTGTAAAACCCACAGTGTCCCCAGGAACAAATGTGTTCACTGCATCATGAGCTTTGAGGAGCCTGCAGGCAGCACGCAGGAGGGGAGACTCCCAGTATGCAACTGAACATCCCCAGCTGTTTCCATCTGGGCCACTGTGGCCACTTGACAGGAACCTAGGGCAAGGACCCAGGAACTGATTATGGATCCTTTGTGGCACATGGTCAGGGTTGAGGGGATGGGCACAAGGCAGCCTTTTTTATTTTGGGAGGTTTAGAGCCAAGGTTCTTTCCAGAAGGGATTCCTTCCTGACCTTTACCCCTGTGATATAACATTGGGCACTCACTGGTCCTCTCTGGACTTTAGTCTCCTCTTCTATAAAATTGTCAAGACTTAGGTGGGGTGCAGTGGCTCATGCCCGTAATCCCAGCACTTTGGGAGGCCAAGGTGGGCCTGAGGTCAGGAGTTCAAGACCAGCCTGACCAACATGGAGAAACCACGTATCTACTAAAAATACAAAATTAGCCACGTGTGGTGGTACTAGCTACCTAGGATCCCAGCTACTCAGGAGGCTGAGGCAGGAGAATCACTTGAACCCAGGAAGTGGAGGTTGTGGTGAGCCGAGATCATACCATTGCACTCCAGCCTGGGCAACAAATTGAAACTTCATCTCAAAAAAAAATTACAAGACTTGGCAGGGCACAGTGGCTCATGCCTGTAATCCCAGCACTTTGGGAAGCCAAGGTGGGCGGATCACCTGAGGTCGGGAGCTCGAGACCAACCTGACCAACATGGAGAAACCCTATCTCTACTGAAAATACAAAATTAGCTGGATGTGGTGGCACATGCCTGTAACCCCAACTACTCAGGAGGCTGAGGCAGGAGAATCACTTGAACCCAGGAGGCGGAGGTTGTGGTGAGCCGAGATCGCACCATTGCACTCCAGCCTGGGTAACAAGAGCAAAACTCTGTCTCAAAAAAAAAAAAAAATCATCAAGACTTCATAACAGGCCCTGGCAGATTAGACCCCAGCCATGATTCTCTTCAGTATCTTGCCTCCTAGGTCCCCCTTGCCCTCCCATCCCTTTCCCCCTCCACAGGACCCTAGAGATCACCCAGCTGACCTGTACATGGTGTACTCATTGGGGGTCCCAGAAGTCGGGTCTGAGCCATTCTTCTTCCCAAAGTTCCCGGTCCAGAGCACAGTGTCATTGTGGATGACAACTGCAGACATGGCAGCCACGCCTGGGGCAGACATTGCCTGGCGCAGGATCCCGTCCACCTTGAGGGAGAAGAACGGGTGCAGTGACAGGCCCCCTGCCCCTCACCCTCAGTAGTCATCCTACACAGCCACACCCTGTACACAGCACCCCAGTGAGCCTCCAAACCATGCCCCGTGGGTTGGGGCCCCCACTGTTGGGCTTCTTTATAAGATGTTTGCTCAAAGAAACAGTCTTTTTTTTTTTTATTTTTTAAGACGGGGTTTCGCTCTTGTTACCCAGGCTGGAGTGCAATGGCGCGATCTCGGCTCATGGCAACCTCCGCCTCCTGGGTTCAGGCAATTCTCCTGCCTCAGCCTCCTGAGTAGCTGGGATTACAGGCACCGTGCCCAGCTAATTTTGTGTATTTTTAGTAGAGACGGGGTTTCACCATGTTGACCAGGATGGTCTCGATCTCTTGACCTCGTAATCCACCCACCTCGGCCTCCCAAAGTGCTGGGATTATAGGCGTGAGCCACCATGCCTGGCCCGAAACAGTCTCTTAGCAAAAGAAAAAAGGAGAGGGGGTTAAAACTTTTGCATTAAGGCCTGGTGGGGTGGCTCATGCCTGTAATCCCAGTACTTTGGGAGGCCGAGGTGGGCAGATCGCCTGAGGTCAGAAGTTTGAGACTACCCTGGCCAACATAGTGAAACCCTGTCTCTACTAAAAATACAAAAAGTTAGCCAGGCATGGTGGCAGGCACCTGTAATCCTAGCTATTTGGGAGGCTCAGGCAGGAAAATCGCTTGAACCCAGGAGGCAGAGGTTGCAGTAAGCCAAGATTGCACCATTGCATTCCAGCCTGGACAACGAGCAAAACTCCATTTCAAAAAAGAAAACTACTGCTTTATAGTCAAACCCATGTCAGATGCTCTAGAAAACTTCCAGTAGGCCTAGCCTGAACCCCTGATGTTGGAGAATTCACTATTAATGGAGGGCCGTTGGCCCTCTTTGAACATTTATTGGTTCGGTTATTTAATTTTTTTTTTTACGTGAAGTATCATTCTGTCTCCCAGGCTGGAGTGCAGTGGCTCAGGCACAGCTCACTGCGGCCTCAACCTCCCAGGCTCAGGTGACCCTCCCACCTCAGACTTGTGGAGTAGCTAGGAGTACAGACACACGCCACCACCCTCAGTTTAATTGTTTAACTTTTTTGTAGATACAGTGTCTCACTGTGTACACGAGGCTGGTCTCCATCTCCTGACCTCAAGCAACTCTCCCACCTCGGCCTCCCAACGTGCTGATTACAGGTGTGAGCCACCTCACCTAGCTTGAACATTTATTAAAAAATCATTATCAATCATTATCATTATCATTAAAATAAAATCATTATCATGATGAAGCACGATGATGATAACAGCTGACATTTATTGGACATTTAGAATGTGCCAGGCTGTTATAGCAACAGTAAAAAAAATAATAATAAAAATTAAAAAAATAGAATGTGCCAGGCATGGCATAAAGTGATTTTCATACATTGTCTCCTGTAATCCTCGTAAGTCAGTGTTAATTTCTGTCCATTTTGCAGATGAGAAATGAGGGCCTGTGAGATATGGGGTGACTTGCCCATGTGGCTACTGGCTGATGGAATCAAGATTAGAACCCTGTGCCAAGTCTAGCCCCAGTTCTTTTTTGATGTTCTTTTGTTTTTTGGTTTTTTGGTTTTTGTTTTTTGAGACCAGAGTCTTGCTATGTCACCCAGGCTGGAGTGAAGTGGCGTGATCTCAGCTCACTGCGACCTCTGCCTCCCGGGTTCAAGCTATTCTCCTGCCTCAGCCTCCCAAGTAGCAGGGATTACAGATGGGCACCAGCACGCCCGGCTAATTTTTGTATTTTTAGTAAAGACGGGGTTTTACCATGTTGGCCAGGCTGGTCCTGAACTCCTGACCTCAGGTGATCCACCCGTCTCGGCCTCCCAAAGTGCTGGGATTACAGACATGAGCCACCGCGCCGAGACTCTACGTCTTAATTAACTGCCGGACCACCTTGCCAAGTGATTTTGCATATCCTTGGCTGAGCTCTGTCCACCTCCACTTTCCATCCCCGCACTAACTTTGCCTCTCTGAGCCTCTGTCCCCTCTGTAGATAGGGATCCATGAGGAATGCATGTAAGAGGCTTCATGGCAATGGCACATACCAGGTGCTCAACAGAAGGCGGCATGGTTATTATTGTTGTTCTTTTGAATATTTGCTGTAACTCCTGAAAGCCACATAGCACCCTTCTGTACTCTCCCCTTCACAAAAGCCTTCCAGGTGTTTGCAAACAGCGATTTTTGGTTCTGCATTGGCCCATGCCTTCTCTCTTCTTGGGACTCAACACCCCTTTCCCTTTAACTGTTCCTCAGATGTCAGTTTCAAGTCTCCCCCACCATGCTATGGCTCATATATTTCTGATCATGTTTCACTTGTCTCCATGTCTCCCAAGGTGGGTGACCCAGGTGGCTGGGGTCTGACTGGCACAGACTAGAGCTGACTGACACCTCCCTCTAGGATTTGGCCATCCTGCAATGGTAAACGTTGTGTTGGGGGGCACAGAGTGTTTAATCATATCAAAGTGGCCTCTGCAGTATGGGCTCGGTCATCCTCTCCCAGCTCATCCTCCCCACCTCCCACCTTTGGCCTCTCAGTTCTCTGCATGTGTCATGTACTTTCTGCAGCCTCCAGGCCCTTGCAGGTGCTGTTCCACCTGTCTGGAGCACAGCCCTCCACCCAGCCTCCCTCACCAGACACAGATCATCTGGGCATCTGCTACTTGTTCACATCGCAGCCTAGACACCACTTCCTCCAGAAGCCCTCCCTGACTCTAAGGCCCATTCCTTTGTGCTCCCAAAGTCCCCTAAACTTTTCTTGCCCTATTCTTGCCCCAGGGTTATTAATGTTTGAAGTCTTTACTGTTCTCCTCACTTCCAGATCAGTAATTTCTTGAGAGCAGGTCAATGTCTGCTTCCTGTCATATTCCTAGTGCCTAGCACAGAGTAGATGCTCAAGGAATACATGTTGGATGGATGGATGGATGAATGAATGAGTGAATGCCACTGCCAGCACAGAGGGACTGCCCTCCCTTCATCATCCAGGCCCAGCCCACATGCCCAGTTCCCTGATGGGTCATCACTGACCTTTTCCAGGGCCTCCTTCAATACGGGGAGTGGGTGGACCAGGGGCACGGGCTCAGGATGCCGGGGACACATTCTCACAGGGGCAGAGGTCTCCTCTGGTCCCAGAGAACCTGGAACAAACATCACATGGTGAGGAGGGGACAGAGATCAGGATAGGAATCTAGGAGATAGGGGGAAAGTGGTGACAAAGGCTGGAGCAGTGCCTCAAGGACAGCCCTCCCCAGCTGAGCCAGAGGATATCAGGGTGCAGAGAGCAGCCATAGGCCTGAGGGGCTATGGAGCAGAGTGTGCCCTTGGGGAGAAGGCCCAGCCCCGCAGGTGACATCCATCAGGCCACAGCTCCTGGTTAGTGGTCACTGCACTCCCCTCTTCCTTGCTTAACCAGCTTCCCATCTTCCCGTGGTCAGTGGACTTAGACCATTCTGCCTGCATGGGGCAGGCTCAGCCACACCTGTCTGTACATCTTACCTGCCCTCATCCTGATTATGTGTTTGGGTGGACTTCTAGCCCCACTTATGACTCAGGCCTAAACCACAGCAACAACTCATTGTCTCACCAGAGCTGAGCATCGGGGCTGTGGGGCTGAACCTGTTCTGCCTTTGTCGGGGTGTGTGGCTTCCTCAGCACCTCAGGGGAGATGGTGAGGAGCTGGCAGGCCAGGATTCAGGCTGTGATATCATCACAGCAGCACCCAAGCCTTTTTCTCTAAGGCTGGAGTGCGGTGTGAAGGGGGATGAGCACCCCGCAGGACTGTTAATATATCCTCCTCATCTTCCACTGTGCCCTGAGACTCCACCCAAAAATGAGACAAGGTGCCTGTGGGAGGTTGCATGTGACCATAAATTCTTTTGTGTTGTTGTTGTTGTTATGGAGTCTCACCCTGTCGCCCAGGCTGGAGTGCAGTGGTGCAGTCTCAGCTCATTGCAACCACTGCCTCCCTGGTTCAAGCGATTCTCCTCCCTCAGCCTCCCAAATAGCTGGGACTATGGGCGTCCGTCTGCCACCACACCTGGCTCATTTATGTATTTTTAGTAAAGCTGGGGTTTCATTATGTTGGCCAGGCTGGTCTTGAACTCCTGACCTCGGGTGATCCACCCACCTCGGCCTCACGAAATGCTGAGATTACAGGCATGAGCCACCGCGCTCAGCCATATGACCATACATTCTGTCAGCTCCTTCCACCTTCGAAGATGGCTGGCTTTGTGACTTGCTTTGGCCAAAAGAATGAGGCTGAACAAATTGCGACCTTCCTAGGCTAGACCTTAAGGAGCTTACTCCCTGCAAACGCTGCCACCTTGTGGACAGGTCTGGGATAGCAGACTTGAGAGCGAGAGTCTACAATGAGGGAGAGCCCCCCACACCACAAGCTGACTTGCCCTCTGCACCAGAGAGAGCCCGGGCTAGACCAGCAGCAGAGCTGCCAGCCAGCCCACAGATTCATGGGAAATAATCACTTGCTTTGTTTGAAGCCAGTAGGCTTTGGGGTGGTTTGTTACTTAGCAATAGATAACTGACAGGGTCCCAAACAGGAAAATTACAAACCTTAGGGAGGATGCCTCAACAACGTCATGACGTGGATTTCACAGGTTAGGGTGTTCTCAGCTAGAGCCTAGGCTTTGCTTAGCCTGCGACCCAAAAAGGGGCTGGTGTCGACCGTGGTGCTCCTCCCACTTTAACGTGTACACACGAAAAATCACCAAGCAATCTTAAAAGGCAGGGTTGGCCCGGCACGGTGGCTCATGCCTGTAATCCCAGCATTTTTGGGAGGCCAAGGAGGGCGGATCGTTTGAGCCCAGGAGTTTAAGACTAGCCTCGACAACATAACGAAACCCTGTCTCTACAAAAATTAGTTGGACGTAGTGCTGTATGCCTGGTCCCAGATACTCGGGAGTCTGAGGTGGGAGAATGGTTTGAGCCTGGAAGATAAAGTTTGCAGTGACCCAAGATTGCAACACTGCACTCAGCCTGGACAACACAGTCAGATTCTGTCTCAAAACAAAAAATGGCCAGGTGAGGTGGCTCACGTCTGTAATCCCAGCACTTTGGCAGGCAGAGGTGGGTGGGTCAAGAGTTCAAGACCAGCCTGGCCGACATTGTGAAACCCCGCCTCTACTAAAATTATCCAGGTGTGGTGTCAGATCCCAGCTCCTCAGGAGGCTGAGGCAGAAGAATCGCTTGAACCTGGGAGGCAGAGGTTGCAGTGAACTGAGATGGCACCATGCACTCCAGCCTGGGTGACAGAGAGAGACTCCAGATTTGATTCAATGGATGTGGGGTGGGGCCTGAGAGTCCGCTTGTCTAACCACCCCTCAGGTGATACCCATGGGAGGGTGAGCACCTAGATCAGCGTGGTCTGCAGACCACGAATTGTTTGTTTCCCATTTGGGACAAATTAAGTACAAGTTTGAGATAAAGCATTTAGAACTTTTCTTGCTGTTTGATGAAGTAATTTTGCATCTGTTGAATCTAATAATTGAAAACTTGGGCTTCTGTTTTGCATGTCTTTTTATATTTCTCTAATAATTAATTCTTATGTATTTGTAAGTAATACTGGTCCACTATGAATTGGTAGGTTAGTAGATAGAGAAGCATGGCCCTAGAAGACAGACCAGGCTGCCTACCCGGGGTCTATTTGCTTGAAAGGCTAAGAAGCCCTTCATAAAGAAACTTACCCTAGAAAGAAAGGGCTGTGGGTGGGAGAGGAAGGAGCTGGCAAGAAAATAAAAGGAGTCATTTCTGCAAAAATCTCTGTGGGACTTGGGAGCCCAGGGCACCTCACTGAGATCTGGAGCATCTGTAACATAGGATGACACAGGAATGGAGGCAGACATTCTTTCCCTGACTTCTGCAGAGACATGGGACCCTGGGCCACCCAGGATCCCAATAGGTTGGCGGTCCCAGGGATTGCTATACCAACAGTGGGCCCAGTAAGCATCACTAGAGTGCTGGCTCCTTTATTGGGCCTTGATCCACCAGGAAGAAGAGGCTCCCAGGCATGGCAGCTGCTGCTTCTGAACACCTGTGAGTTGTTGCTATTGAGGTCTTAGGTACAGCCTCAGGAGGGTCTTGAAAGGGGACTGCAGCCTGGAGATTCCACCATGGTGGCTGAAGGCAGAGGAAGGGAAACACCGTTTGCTCTGTGTGTGTGTGTGTGTGTGTGTATCCCTGAATTTCACCCCCAAACTGGGCATCTTGAAGAAACTCCAGTGGCATCAGGATCCTCATTTTATTCGTGAGGGCATCGAGGCACAGAGAGGCCACAGTTAGAGTTGGACCAGAATGTCCCAAAGATGCACAGTTAGTGAGAGTTGGACCAGAATGGAGGATGGAGCTTCTGGGTCTAAATCTTATGTTGTCCCCTATACCTTAGGATCAGAGGTGGCAGCTCAAAGCTCAGGAGGACCCACGGGCTATAGGGAAAAACTCAAGGCTGTCTCTGCACTTACCAGTCTTCAGCTTGGGGAGGTGATACTGCCACAGGAAGCAGCCTGTCATGACCACGGAGAGCAGGCAGAAGAAGCTGCAGATGGCTGGGAGAAGCCACTTCTTCTTCACTTTCAGCAAGCTGAGATGCCAGCCAGCCTAGAGGAGCAAGGACATAGGGTACAGTCCCCTTGGGGGTCAGCCAGAGGGAAGAGAAGGACCCTAACCCTGCCCTCTCCTAGCCTCGGGTTAGCCAGATGTCATGAGAGCCCACAGCTTTGGATAAATTTCACCGCTGTGAAACCAATGCCCTTCCCAGTGTGACTTTTTCAATAGTTCTTCCTTGCAAGAGCACCCACACCTCTGCTTGCTGTACCTCACTCCCCTATGGACTTAGTGGAATATCTTAAGACCAGCTGAAATGCCACCTCCTCCAGGAAGCTTTCCTCAACTCTCTTGTAATAGTCTGTTCTCACGCTGCTAATAAAGACATACCCAGGACTGGGTAATTTATAAAGGAAGGAGGCTTAATTGTGTCACAGTTCCACATGGCTGCGGAGACCTCAGGAAACTCACAGTTATGGCAGAAGGGAAGCAAACATGTCCTTCTTCACATGGCAGCAGGAAGGAGAATAAATGGGGGAAAGCCGCTTATAAAACCATCAGATCTCCTGAGAACTCACTCACTATCACAAGAACAGCATGAGGATAATCACCCCCATGATTAAATTACCTCCTCTCATGTCCCTCCCATGACACATGGGGATTATGGGAACTATAATTCAAGACGAGATATGGGTGGGGACCCAGCCAAACCATATCATCTCCTCACCCATGTCTCCTCCCAAGGCACTTGGAATAAGCCAGGGTACAAATCCAACTCTCTGTAGTACCATAATTGTTCTACCATATTAGCTGATCTACCTATTAGAGTGGGAGCTCTCCAAGGGCAGGGCCCCTTCTTCACTTTTCTCCTCTGTGGCCTCTGGTCTATCCTGGCTGCCCAATGCGTGCTTATGGAGTGCATGTGTGGGTGCTGAGGGTGCAGGATGAAGCTTCCCTCCATCCCTCCCCACACCCACTTTCCAGAACATCTGCCCCTTCATTCCTCCAATTTAGTATTCTTGAACCTGGGAAAGAGCACCCAGCAGGCACATGTAAAGCTCTCAACACAAGACTGGTACTCCATGGTGCTGGCCACCTCTGGAAGGCTGGTCACGTTGCCACAGCTCCCATGTTGCTCTGCCAAAGTGAGTAGAAAAACCTTTACAATGAAAAAGGACATGTGTAGATACCTCTAGAAGGATGGCGCTGCAGAGCAATGGGTTCCTTTCCCAAAGATGGGTGTGGGAGATGGGTCAGGGCAAGCAACACAGAGTGTGAGATGATGCGAGCAGGTCCTAAAGCCTGCCGGAGAGGGAAACAGAGGGCAGGTAAGGAGGAGGCTGAGAGACTGGAGAGGGAGGACATGTGGGATTTCCCCCTTTGCTCGGCACTTCTCCTTCCTGCCACCACGTGAAGAAGGACATGTTTGCTTCCCCTTCCTCCATAACTTTAAGTTTCCCGAGGCTTCCCCAGCCATGTTGAACTGTGAGTCAATTAAACCTCTTTCTTTTAAAAATTACCCAGTCTTGGGTATTTCCTTGCCCACAAGAAGAACTGTGTGTTCCCTCATAGTCAACCCAGACCCTGGAAATGCAGTGCCGCTTCCAGCTAGTATCCCAAAGCCCTTTAAGCCCGTGCTAAGCCTTTTAAGAGGAACGTCAGTATGAGGCAGGCACTACTCGTGCCCTTATGTTACAGATGAGCCTCAGAGAAGTTAAGTGACTTGCCCCAGGTCACACAGCTAGTTGCAGAGCTGGGATTTGAACCCAAAGCCCAGTTTTCGACCTACTCAGCCACAGTTCTGAAAGAGCCTTCTCATTTCTAAGTGGGAAAACTGAGGTTACAGGAAGAAAAGGACCTATCTAAAGAAGAATAGCCATCATATATTGGATGCTAGCTTTACGTCCTGCCCTGCCCTTGTCCCTTAACTTGTATTATCTTATTACAACTCACAACCTTCCCATGAAGTTGGCTTGCCCATTTCAGAGATAATAAAACGTGCTCAGAGAAGTGACTGGCTGAAGGTTGCAGAGCAAGGTGGTAGTGAATCCATTCTGCCTGACTCTCATCTGACATGTCTTTTGAACTACCGTCTTGTTCCCTGTGGCCTAAACTGTACTGGGAACAGGACTCTTCCCTGCTCTCCTCTATCTTAGCAGGCCTGCAGAATGAGAGAGCTGGGAAACAGTTCAAGATTATTCCTTCAGGGCCGGGCACTGTGGCTCACACCTGTAATCCCAGCACTTTGGGAGGCCGAGGCAGGCAGATCACAAGGTCAAGACATCAAGACCATCCTGGCCAACATGGGGAAACCCCGTCTCTACTAAAAATACAAAAATTAGATGGGCATGGTGGCGCGTGCCTATAGTCCCAGCTACTCAGGAGGCTGAGGCAGGAGAATTGCTTGAATCTGGGAGGCAGAGGTTGCAGTGAGCCGAGATTGCACCACTGCATTCCAGCCCAGCACCTGGCAACAGAGCGAGACTCTGTCTAAAAAAAAAAAAAAAATTCCTTCAGGACCCTTATCCTGGGGATAGAGGGCCATTTCCACCTAGAAGTCCTCAAGCATCTAGCACTCAATATCCAGAAAAGACAACGCACTTCTTTCACCCCCTCCTCCCTCACTTGTATTTTCAACATCCGTTCATGTCACCTGCTTCCACTTAGTCACTCATGCTTCAGGGGCTGCCTGGGCCCCTCTATGTCCTTCAGTCTCTACCTCCAGCCAGTCCTCAAGCCCTGCTGTTACAATTAGGAAATATTTCGAGCATACTGAAAAATATACACTGGGCCCAGAGGCTCACTCCTATTATCCTAGTACTTTGGGAGGCCAAGATGAGAGGATCACTTGAGCCCAGGAGTTTGAGACCAGTCTGTACAAAAAAATTAAAAATTGGCTGGGCAAAGTGGCTCGCACCTGTAATCCCAGCACTTTGGGAGGCCAAGGCGGGTGGATCACTTGAGTCCAGGAGTTCAAGGTCAGCCTGGGCAACATGGCAAAACCTGCCTCTACAAAAAATACAAAAATTAGCCAGGCGTAGTGGCGTGTAGCTGTAATCCCAGCTACTCAAGAGGCTGAGGCGGGAAAATCACATAAGCCTGGGAGGAGGAGGTTGCAGTGAGCCAAGTCACACCACTGTAGTCCAGCCTGGGTAACAGAGTGAGACCCTGCCTCAAAATAAATAAAATAAAATCAGCTGGGTGTCATGATGCATGCCTGTGGTCCCAGCTATTCGAGAGTCTAGGTGGGAGGATTGCTTGATCCTGGGAGGTCAAGGCTGCAGTGAGCCATGATTGCACCATTACATGCCAGTTTGGATGACAGAGCAAGACCCTGTCTCTCTCTCACTTTCTCTCTCTCTCGCTATTTATATATATACACACACACACACACACACACACACACACACACACACACACAAATTTTATATATATATATAGAGAGAGAGACAGACAGACAGACATAATGAATCCTTAGCACTCAACTTTGTTGAATCTTAACATTATGTCATATTTTTCTCATATATTTACAGTTTTTGAATCTATTATGTGTTGTTCCGTTTCCCCATCCCATAGGGATTGTTGTTTGTTTTGTTTGCTGAGGTATTCCCAGTACCCAAAACAGTTCCTGGAATATAGCAGACCCTAATAAATATTTGTGGATTTTTTTTTTTTTTTAGATGGAGTTTCACTCTTGTTGCCCAGGCTGGAGTGCAATGGGGTGATCTTGGCTCACCGCAACCTCCACCTCCCAGGTTCAAGCGATTCTCCTACCTCAGCTTCCCGAGTAGCTGGGATTACAGGCATCTGCCAACACACCCAGCTAATTTTGTATTTTTAGCAGAGAGAGGGTTTCTCCATGTTGGTCCAGCTGGTCTCAAACTCCCAACCTCACACGATCCAGCCGGCTTGGCCTCCCAAAGTGCTGGGATTACAGGCATGAGCCACCACACCCGGCCAATAAACATTGATTACATGAATGACTGGACAGAAATAAAACATCCTAGGTTGAGGTGAAGCCCTCTGTGTACCTTTTGTGGATCTCAGTTCCTTCCAGCTCCCCGCAAATGTGACACCCATGCTGATTTATGCACGTGTTTATTCTTTTATTATGTGTTTATGTTTCCATAAATAGCATGCAGTATGCACAGTTTTGAACGTACATGAATGATTTCATACTGTATAATCCTCCTGCAATGCAACTTGCTTTTTATTCAATTAGCTGACTACAGTTCTGGGTTATTCATTTTAGCTTCTGCAGAGTGTATTGTTATATAGACATACTGGGTGGTGCAGTAGTTAGAGCCTGCAGCCAGGCTACCTTAAAAACCTGACTATTTTACAGTACAGTTGGAAACTCTGTGCTACGAGTGACATTTCTGCGTGGCAAGGTACAGCCTTCTTCAACTTAGCCACATGCTATTCTATTCCTCTCTAAAGTTGTCGTTCCAATTTGACCTCCTACCACCCTTTTTTTTTTTTTTTTTTTTTTTTTTTTTTTTTTTTTTTGGGAGACACAGTCTCGCTCTTTCGCCGGGCTCCAGGCTGGAGTGCATTGGCGCGATCTCAGCTCACTGCAACCTCCGCCTCCTGGCTGCAAGCAATTTTCCTGCCTCAGCCTCCCAAGTAGCTGGGATTACAGGCACGCACCACCACACCCAGTTAATTTTTGTATTTTAGTAGAGATGGGGTTTCACTATGTTGGCCAGGATGGTCTCAATCTCTTGACTTGTGATCTGCCCTCCTCAGCCTCCCAAAGTGCTGTGATTACAGGCGTGAGCCACCGCACCCAGCCTGTACTCATACCACCTTTGATTCTTATTGCTATTAATATTTTTAATCTGCAGCATCTTGATGACTAATAATGTTGAATACCTTTTATGTGTTTATTGTATGTATCTGGGTTTGATTTTCTGCAGGTGGACTGTTCTCCTTTGCCTGGTTCTTTTCTATTTTCTTTTCTTTACTTATTAGAGTTCTTGTTTGTGGCTTGATTTTCACACCGCGTTGATAACTTTTGTGGACAGGTAGAATAGTGTAGTGGTGAATCCGTGGCCAGATTGCCTGATTTGCAATCTTAGCTCAGCCACTTACCACTGTGTGACCTTAAGAAAGTCACTTAACCTCTCTCTGCTTCTGTTTCCTCACCTGTAAAATGGGGATGATAATAGTGCCTAACTCATCAATTTGCAAGGATTAGATGAGTTAATATATAAAAATAACATTGTCTGACACACTGTAAGCCCTATTAGCTATTATAATATTTTGGGATTGTTTTGAGACAGTCTCACTCTGTCTCCCAGGCTGGAGTGCAGTGATGTGATCAGTTTTTGTATTTTTTGTAGAGACAGGGTCTCACTACGTTCTTCAGGCTGGTCTCAAACTTGTGAGCTCAAGCAATCCTCCCACCTTGACTTCCCAAAGTACTGGGGTTACTGGCGTGAATCACTACCTGGCCAGCTGTTACAGGATTTTCGAATAGGAGGGATTTGGGTTTTGGTTTTGGTCGCTGCCGAATTCATCGCTATCGTCTTTTTGGTTTGCATTGCATGTATGGTGTGTGCGCACTTAAGAAATCTTTTTCTTCACAGAGGTCAGAGATAAAGGTTTTTGTACTTTCACACACAGAAGAATTTTTAGTTCTAGAATGAGGTAGGGATCCCATTTTATTTTTCCATATGGATAATCAATAGTCCGGCGCTATTCATTAAATACATCAACCTGTCCCCCACCAACTCATACGCCAGCTCTGAAATACATCAACTGTCTGTACATACTGACATCTGCCTTCTGGGCTCTGTTCCAGGAGAGTCTCGCTGAGTTTATGTTCCATCCCTCCACGTCCAACCCTGCACTCTCTTTCACAGCAAAGATCACTCACATGTTGAGCAGAGTGTGCCAGGCTCTGTTTCACAGGAAACAATCTGGCAAGAGAGACTTCCTATGATCCGACTCTGATGAACTCCACCAGCCCTTTCCCTGCACTTGTGTCTTTATGCCCCCACCTCCCACATCATTGCTCCTCTCTGTACTTTTCCATCTGCTATTCCCTGGGGCTGTGGTTTCCTTTTATCCTTTTCCGTCAGACAAACTGTGTTCTTCCCTTAACACCCATGGGCATCTGTGAAGCCTTCTCATTCTCCTTTAGGCAGCGCTGCTCATGGTAACTGGCTACTACTGGCTTCTTTTTCTGGGTCCCTACGAGGTGAGGATTCTCTCCAGCACCAGTAGAGAATTTCCTCCTGGCTCTTATGCCTTCGACACCCGGGACCCCACCTGACACCAGCAGGTTCGCAGAAAATTCTTTTGAACTTTACATCATCATGCAAGGTGAAAGACTTGGGTTCAAATCTTAGCTCCACCTTCTGAGTCAGCTGTAACTCTGGACAAGTCTGTTCCCCTCTCTGGGCCTCTACTTCTCCAGTCGTTGAAGAGGAGGGTTGGGCTACTTCTAAAGAGCTTACTTTTACATCTGGAAATCTTGTGTGATTTCAAAGTGTCTTTCAGCTGTAGAATCGCAGGGTTTCCCACTGAAATCATCTTTGTTCATAATGTTCAAAGACTGGAAACAACCCAAATGCTCTTCAATTGGTAAGTAAATAAACAAACTATAGTACATCTATACTGTGGAATACTACTCAGCAGTGTAAAGACATGTGCTACTGATACATCCAATAATGTGGATGAACCTCAAAGGCATGATGCTAAGTGAAACAAGCCAGACTAAAAGGCTACAGACTATAGGATACCACTTACAGAACATTCTGGAAAAGGCAAAATGATAGGAACAGAAAACAACTCAATGTTTGCCTGGGGGTAGGGATTGGGGTAGACTACTAAAGAGCAGAAGGGACTTTGGGAGGTGATGGAACTATGCTGTGTTTATTGTGGTGGTGGTGGTTATGGGATTGTATATAGTTGTTCAAACTCGTAGAACTCTGGGAGGCCAAGGCAGGAGGATCACTTGAGGCTAGGAGTTCAAGGCCAGGCTGGGCCACATAGCGAGACTCTGTCTGTACAAATAAATAGAAAAAATTAGCCAGGCATGGTGGCATGCACCTGTAGTCCCAGCTACTTGGGAGGCTGAGGTGTGAGGATTGCTTGAGCCCAGGAGTTACAGGCCATGGTGAGCTATGATCATGCCACTGCACTCCAACCTGGACAACAGAGTAAGACCCTGTTTCAAAAAAAAATGCATAGAACTGCACAGATTTTATTTCATGTAAATAATACTTCAAATTTTATAAAATAAAGCCATTAAAGATCCCAAAAGCACTGGGATTCTCCACCTGTTGGAGGAGTAACCCGATACAAGACTATGCCTCAGCCACAAAGGAGTGAATGGAAGACTCTCAGACACTGTCACAGGATCATATGGAAGATGCTCCCCTCCTAGCGTGAACACAGAGCTGCAGGCACAGTGAGGGAAGGCAAACTGCTATCCTTTAACTGGCACCTAAGATGTAACCAGCACATCCATAGTTTATTTTAGGTGAAGAATAAAATTCAGAGACATTAATTGACTTGCTGGGTCCACGGGCAGTGAATGGCAGAGCTGAGAGTCAAGCTCTGTAAGACATACCACCCCACTCCTCCTCAAAATGAAGCTGGGGTCTCTGTAGCCCAGATCTGCAGCCCTCCTCTGGGGCCCAGCCTCATCTCAAATCTGTCTCCAATCTCAGGATTTATTCCAACAGACCCAAAGGTGGGTCAGTATTTAATCTCTAAGCTGCTCTCCAGCTGCTCACATTTCGACTTGCAGTAGGCACTAGAAATCTCTCTACTTTCCCTTCCCAGCTGGAAATTGCTGGCAGCAGGGGAGGACCCAGGAAGAACCAGGATCTCCCAAACCCCACCTATAAAACGGCTACACTATGCCCAACCCCTGCTCCTTCTCAGGTGGTCTGTGCTGCAATCACCCTCACCTCCTTCCTCAGGCTCATGGACCACTGTGGGACTGCCCTTCTTTGTCCAGTCATTCATGCAGAAAACAATCCCCAAGGGCTTGCTGTGTACGGGGCCACATCTGCCCTCAAGGAGCCAGCAGGAAGGTGGCATGGTCAGACACAAGGGCCTGGGGACAGGGAAGCAGGACTTGACTCTGGCTCTGCCTTTACTAGTTTTGGGCAAATGACCTCACCCTTTCGGGTCTCCGTTTTCTCATCTGCATAATGCAGATAACAATTGTTCCTACATCTTACACAGTTTAGTTGAAAATAATAAGATAGTGCATGCAAAGCCCATAGAAAGCTGTTCACCAATTGGTAGCTAAAGGTGTAATAAGGGGCTTCAGGGCTCACAGATACAGATGAACTCAGCCTAGGGGAGGGAGGAGGAGAGTCTTTGAACAGGTAGTTGGGAATGAGCTGGGGTCACTCCAGGCAGAGGCCTCTGAGGGTGTAAAAAAGGAAAAAGTTAGTTTCTGGTTCATTTTGAGAATTCAGTGAGTTTATGTAAACATTTGAAATTGTTCCTAGTCTGCAGATGCAAGCTCTAGAAATGTGATGATGATGATGATGATGAAGGTAATATGGGGGATTTAGCCCAATATTTGAAGGCTTCTTGGGGCTGTGCCTCACCTGGGTCTTCATTCCCTCCAAGGCGTGGAAGATTCTGGCTCCTTAAGGATTCAGGTCTACACCGCAGGAGATCCTGTAAGCAGGAAATTGAGTCCGAGGAGTAAAGGCAAAAAGAGGTCCTGGGGGAAGGGGCTGGAAAAAGAACAGGAGGGCAGAGATAAGCTAGAAAACAAGGAGGGTAGCCAAGGATGCGGGGGGAGCAAAGCAACCCTCCCCTTCACATGGCTCCCCCTCCCAGGTGAGAGAAACAGCAGGCTCAGAACCCCCTGCCAAGTGACCCAGCATCCCAGTTTGTCCAGGACTGTCCTGATTTTAGCACCGAAAGTCCTGCATTCCCAGAAACCCCTGAGTCCCAGGCAAATGGGTCCATTGGTCACCCTGTGTGCCCCCTGCATTGAATTCCAGCTTCTCTTCCCCCTCCAGCCTGCTCAGAACAATCCGGTAAGGCACTCAGGCTCTTGGCCACAACTTACTCTCTTCGGAAGGTTCCAGCAAGAACAGGGCAGTTCAGGCCCCAGCTTGGCTGACCAGTGCCTCTGGGAGTCCCCTGTGTTCCAGAGGACAGGAATGGCTTCCCGGGCTCTGAGGCACAGGCTTTACCAAGCTCTCCAGGGGCCGGCAGATGTGGCGCCTAATATCTCCAGCACTAATCCCTCAGAGTGGCCTCTGCCATGGGGATTAGCTTCCAGGGTCCCTGAGCAGCAGGGAAGCAGGGGAGACCTGTCAGAGAGCACTGGCTAATACCGTGTGACCCGACTGCTCCACACACAGCACAGTTCCATCACCTCCCAAAGTCCCTTCTGCTCTTTAGTAGTCTAGCCCATCCCTACCCCCAGGCAACCACTGAGTTGTTTTCTGTTCCTATCATTTTGCCTTTTCCAGAATGTTCTGTAAGTGGTATCATAGTCTGTAGCCTTTTAGTCTGTCTTGTTTCACTTAGCATCATGCCTCTGAGGTTGATCCGCATTATTGGATCTATCAGTCGCTCCTGTCTTTACACTGCTGAGGAGTATTCCACTGCATAGCTGGACTATAGTTTGTTTATTTACTCACCAATTAAGGAGCATTTGGGTTGTTTCCAGTCTCTGGATATTATGACCAAAGACGATTTCAGTGGGAACCCCCGGATTCTACAGCTGAAAGACACTTTTGGTGAAGAAAGGAATGCTCTCCCCAAAAGGAGTCTCTGCCAAACCCAATGTGGAAAAGAGATGACAGGAGGCTCCCAGGGTCATTTCCAGATGGAAAGGGAAAGGAGAGAGATTTCCAGGCTTGATCCAACCCCACACAAGCTCCTCAGGCACCTCTGAGGAACCTAGAGCTCCAAGGAACCCAGATTGAAGACCACTGGGGTCAGCCTAATGGTGAAATATGTAGATAATCTAGATTCAAACCCCAGTGTGCTAGTGCCTGTGTGAGCCTATGTGACCAGGGATCATGACCCTTTTGCCTCATATCTATAAAATGGGGACAATAATACTACCTTGGCTAGTGTGTGGGTTAAATGGAATGTGCTCATGAGTTCAAGACCAGCCTAGGCAACATGAAAAAACCCCATCTCTACTAAAAATACAAAACATTAGTTGTGTGTGGTAATGTGCATCTGTAATCCCAGCAGGCAGCCCAGGACCCGGCACCTAGTAAGTGCTCCATAAAGTTCGGCTTCTTGTCATGGATACTTGGCTTTTTTTTTTTAAAGACACGTCACAGTGGGCACACTGGACACAGTGGCTCATGCTTATAATCCCAGCACTTTGGGAGGCCAAGGCAGGAGGATGGCTTGAACGTAGGAGTTCAGCACCAGCCTGGGCAATAGAGTGAGACCTTGTCTGTACAAAAAATTTAAAAACAGCCAAGTGTGGTTGGTGGCGTTGCCCCATAGTCCCAGCTACTCTGGAGGTTGAAGCAGAAGCGTGGCTTGAAGTGAAGGCTGCAGTGAGCCGCGATGAGATTACGCCAGCGCGCTCCATCCTGATGACAGAGAGAGACCCTGCCTAAAAAAAGAGAAAGTCGTGCTCTGTCACCTAGGCTGGAGTGCAAGTGGTGCAACCAAAACTCACTGCAGCCTCCCACTCCTGGGTTCAAGCGATCCTCCTGCCTCAGCCTCCTGAGTATCTGAGACTACAGGACACACCACTATGCCCAGTTAATTGTAATTTTTAAATTGCTTTTGGTACAGATGGAGGGGTCTCCCTTTTTTGCCCAGGCTGGTCTTAAACTCTTGGCCTCAAGTGATCCTCCTATCACTGCCTCCCAAAGTGCTGGGATTATAGGTATAAACCAAAAATAAAATTCTAAGGCCCGCAACCATCTGAATGGACTTCCTCCTCAGCCAAGGCACTCCTAAAATTTAACCTGAAAGACCTAAAGACTGGTTCAGGCCATGATGGGAAGTGGGTGTCAGACATGCCTCATCATACCACTCCAGAATAATACCACATAGCACATAAGGAAAGAAATCAAAATATTTTAACCCCAAATGTATTTCCTTGTCATATCTTGAAACTGCCCTCAAGTTTGTCTCTTGGGGGGGAAAAAAATCTACATTCTGTAGAGAATCCGCCCTTCTCTTTTTCCTTTTCAGATCCAGGAGATAATCAGCAAAGAGTCAGGCACCCTTTTAAGTCTCATCAGAAAACATTTTACAACCTCTTCTCTCTGAAGCCTGCCAGCTATAAGCTTCCTCTGCACAATAAAACTTTGGTCTCCCTAATCCTTTACCTTAGCCCAAACGTTTCCTTTCTATTGATCTCAGGTCCTCAAACTCAACCAATTGTCAACTAGAACATTTTTAAATTTACCTATAGCGGCTGGTCAGGTGCAGTGGCTCACGCCTGTAATCCCAGCACTTTGGGAGGCCAAGGTGGGAGGATCACCTGAGGTCAGGAGTTCAAGACCAGCCTGACCAACATGGAGAAACCCCATCTCTACTAAAAAAAAACACACACAAAACTAGCCAGGCATGGTGGTGCATGCCTGTAATCCCAGCTACTCGGGAGTCTGAAGCAGGAGAATTGTTTGAGGCGGAGGTTGTGATGAGCCAAGATTGCACTGCTGCACTCCAGCCTGGTGACAGAGAGACAGACTCCAACTCAAAAAAAAAAAAATTACCAAAACCTAAAATGCAATAAAAAAGGATCTCTCAAAAATCTCTAACACCAAAAAAAAGAATTACCTATAGCCTAGAAGCCTCACATGGAGTTGTCCCACCTTTCTAAACCAAACCAATGTACAGCTTAAATGTATTTGATTGATGTCTCATGCCTCCCTAAAATGTATAAAACCAGCCAGGTGCAGTGGCTCAGGCCTGTAATCCTAACACTTTGGGAGGCCGAGGCGGGCAGAGTACCTGAGCTCAGGAGTTTGAGACCAGCCTGGGCAACAAGACCAAACCCCATCTCTACTAAAAATACAAGACGTTAGCTGGGCATCTTAATCTGCGTCTATAATCCCAACTATTTGGGAGGCTGAGGCAAGAGAATCACTTAAAGCTAGGAGTTGGAGGTTGCAGCCAGCCAAGATCATGCCACTTCACTCTAGCCTGGGAGACAGAGCAAGACTGTCTTAAAAAAAAAAAAAATTCTGCACCCCAACCACCTTGGGCACATAATCTCAGGACCTCCTGAGGGCTGTGTCAGGGACCATGGTCACTCATATTTAGCTCAGAATATTTCTCTTCAAATATTTTACAGTTTGACTCTTTTTGTGAACATAAGTGTGAGCCACCACTCCCAGCCATGACTTGACTTTTATGTCAAACTTTTACCCGGCCCCTGTGGCAGATATCAGATCTTTCTCTGTGAACATTTTAGAAGATCATTGATTTTAGTTGATACGAAAGATAAAACAAATGTTCCTTCTCAGCCTTAGATGAGGTTACACAGTAGGATTACTTGGAGAGCTCTTAAAAACCATGGGTGTCTGGGTCCCTCTGTAGAGATCCCCAGAGGCACAGTTTGGATCCTGTCATCTTTGAAGACTCCTTGGTGATTCCACTGTGTGGCCAAGGTTGAGAAGCAGTGCCCCAGACCAGGGAGTTACTCCTCTGCAACTCACGGATCATACTGGCCTTCACATCATTATTTCAACAGAGCCTTGAATCACCCTCTCCTTCTGCTGATGCTCAGGATCAGAGATGGGTGGAGGCAAACCTTTCTAGATCTTCTTCTGTAGCTCCCATAGCCAAAAATCTGAGTGATTTTGTCCAAACTCCACACTGTGTGGCTGGCTAAAGAGGCTCACAGAGGGGAAATGACTTACCAAGGTCACATAGCAAGTTTACTGACAACAATTGACCTGGGACCCAGGTCTTTTTTATTGCACTTGGCTGCTTGGTTAATCTCTTGGCTCAGAGCTGCCAGCCCGTCTCTTGGACACAAACTGCGTGCTGACAATGTGCCACCTACAGTCCTTAGCGCTCTCTGTGCTGTGTCCTCTGGTCTGCACCATCCCAGGAGTCTTCTTCTATTCTGTCTCCATTTCACATCTGAGGAAACTGAGGCTCCGGTAAGTGAAGTCCCCAGAAAGTGGCAGGACTGGGATTGGACCGGGAGTCTTGTTGTTCCCCAGACACTGACAAGACTCCTCGGTTGGTGTGAGGTTAAATAGAATGTGCTCGTGAAGCAGGCGGCCCAGAGAGAGCCTGGCATCTAGTAAGGGCTCAGTACAGTTCGGCTTCTTATTATGACTCAGGTTTTTTGTTTTGTTTTGTTTGTTTTTTTGAGATGGAGTTTCCTCTTGCTGCCCAGACCAGAGTACAATGGCACGATCTCAGCTCACCATAACCTCTGCCTCCCAGGTTCAAGTGATTCTCCTGCCTCAGCTTCAGATTACAGCCATGGGCCAACGTGCCCAGTTAATTTTGTACTTTAAGTAGAGATGGGGTTTCTCCATGTTGGTCAGGCTGGTCTCAAACTCCCGACCACAGGTGATCCACCTGCCTCGGCCTCCCAAAGTGCTTAGATTACAGGCTTGAGCCACCGTGCCTGGTCTTTTTTTCTTTCTTTCTTTCTTTTTTTGAAATAAGGTCTCACTAATACTACCTATTGGCAAGCCCTGCATCTCATTCAGGTTTATGTCCCCAAACCTAGCACTGACTATTTAAATCAGTTAATCCACTCCAGGGTTCTGCAGCCCTTGCCCCCAGGACACCAGGCCTTCCCTGAGAACTCCTCCCACGCTCCTACCCAAGTTCTGAAGGCAGCCATTTTTCACTGCAGAGACCAGCCTTGCCCCTCCCGAATTTAGCGAGAGGGGAGCCCACAGCATGTCATACAGCACAGTGACCCCAGGATGGCAGTAAATGCCCGAGTGTAAGATCTCTGGCCCAGCCTGAGCCTCCTTTAAAGGGAAATTTACTTGCATGTTTCTCTTCCTTCAGGCCCTTTTCGAGGGGCTTCTCATCCATGAGCCAAGATATTCCCCACAGTATCCCCACGGGGAGGAATGATTCATCATCGTTTACACGTGAGAGAGCATGTTCATCCTTTGCCCTTCATGGCTGCCTCCTACTCTTTGGGGAAAAAACAAAAACCTTACCTGCGTAGTCTAAACCTATCCAGTCTCCCTGTGAGTCAGACTGCAAGAGTTCAAATTCCAGTTCCCCCACTTATCCGTGTGACTTTGGTTGGATTTCTTGACTTCTCTTGGATCTCAATGTGCTCATCCAAAAAAATGGGGTAATGAAGTAGAACCTACCTCCTTGCAGGCAGGAGTGAGGATTGCATGAAATAAAACACCTAAAATGTACAATCCAGTAGCTGGCATGCAGCAAGAGCTCAGCAAATGTTAGTCACTCTTATTACTGTGAGTCTCATTGCCCCCTCCTCCTTCGAGAAAGTAATTGTCCTCACTCTCTGCATCAGGACCTTTAAGAAAGAAGAATGTAGGCTGGACACGATGGCTCATGCCTGTAATCCCAGCACTTTGGGAGGCTGAGGCAGGCAGATCATTTGAGGTCAGGAGTTTGAGACCAGCCTGGCCAACATGATGAAACCCTCCACGGATGCTTAAGCCATGATATAAAATAACATAATATTTGCGTATCACTGACACACATCCTCCTGTTTATTTTAAATTATCTCTAGATTACTTACAACACCTAACACAATGTAAATGCTATGTACTTAGTTGTTATGCTGTATTGTTTAGGGAATAATGACAAGGGTTAAAAGTCTGGGCCGGGCATGGTGGCTCACACCTATAATCCCAGGACTTTGGGAGGCTGAGACAGGTGGATCACCTGAGGTCAGGAGTTTGAGACCAGCTGGCCAACATGGTGAAACCCCATCTCTACTAAAAATACAAAAATTAGCCAGGTGTGGTGGCGGGCGCTTGTAATCCCAACTACTTGAGAGGCTGAGGCGGGAGAATCGCTTGAACCCCGGAGGCAGAGGTTGCAGTGAGCCAAGATTGCACCATTGCACTCCAGCCTGGGTGACAGAGCAAGAAAACATCTCAAAAAAAGAAAAGAATTGGCATTTAGATGATATATAAAGCCATCACCAAGATAGTGAGATGGAGAAAAGAAGGGCTCTGAGGAGAGAGCTCAAAGGTGCAAGAGATCTGAGCTTTGAGTGAAGGCAAATACCACAAAGTCATTGAGTGTGGGCTCAGAAAAGTCCTTACTTTTCTGAGAAAATGCAGAAGGTGGAAGCTGAATGAGGCATTGAGTTGTTCAACCTCTCATCATCGTTTGGAGAGAGGTGCGGGGAACCAGGGCATAGCTGGAAACACCACAGAGTGCTCCAGAAGGGGAACCCCACCTTCCTACTCTACTTTTTGTATAGGCAAATGTGAGGTTCATCTTGTAAGTAAAGAAAACGGGCCCCAGCTCAGACACGGGGGGAGTTGCTTGCAATGCTGAGGGCACCTGGAGCCCCTGTGGCATGTAGAGACCAGGTAGTCATTTAGGCTTTGGGGAAAGGAGCCCTCTCTGGAGTCCATCTGCTATCTCTTTGCTAAAAGCCTGGAGTGAGCCCCCAGGGGCTTCCGATACAGCACAACATGGTTCTCCAAAGTTCATCCCCTTACCTACAGGCTCATCAAACAGAAGCCTGCCCAACAGAAATTGAAATCAACTGGGCTTACAGTGGGATTTCCAATGGTTGTTGGCAATGCTGGAGAAGATACTGCAGAAAGAGTGAGGCCTAGAGTCATAGTACAAAGTCCACGGTGCAGACCTGAGCCACCTGGACATGGAGACCATGTGAAGCCTGAGGAAAGAGCCCAAGGCTCAGACAGAGGAGTAGCCTGGAGCCATTAGGCATGTTCTCGTGGTAGCTTTGGGCTTCTGGACTTGACCAAAGGTGTTCATCCAGAAACAGCAGGGGATAGTGTCCAGTGCAGCTACTCTCCTCCTGGCCAACAGAATGCAAGCCGTGTGGTTATCCAGCATGACCTGAGTTCATGATAACCTCACCAGTGAGAATCCTGGCAGTCCCTGTGACAATTTCATTTAGGATAGCTGAGTGCTTGTGAATTGTAGATTCTACCTATTGTGGGAGGAAAATCTGCATAAAATGGTGAAATCCATGTACTGAATACCCAGGAATGTCTTGTCAAAAGCACCAGCGCCGGGACTGGGAACATTGCTATGCCCACAGGTCTTGGGTATCATAAGGGCTCATATGCAGATGGTATTCCTTCCAAAGAGAAAGCAAAGAAGGACCTATATCCAGAGCACAGATCAAGTCCTGGGGATACATAGGGTACTGCTCAATATTCTGCCAGTTCACCTCCACACCTTCCTTTCAGGGGATGGGAACATGGTTGTGCCATTTGTAGCTGCGGCCAGAATTCTCCCAGCTGAACTCCCCCTGTGAACCAAAAATATCTGAGACAAGTCTCAATCAATTTAGAAAGTTTGTTTTGCCAAGGATAAGGACACACCTATGACACAGCCTCAAGAGCTTCTGACAACGTGTGTCCAAGGCAGTCGGGGCACAGCTTGGTTTTATACATTTTAGGGAGACATGAGATAATAATCAACATATGTAAGATGTACATTGGTTCAGTCCAGAAAGACAGGACAACTCACAGCGGGGAGGAGTCTTCCAGGTCATAGGTAGATAAGAGACAAATGATTGTATTCTTTTGAGATTCTGGGAGGAGAAGGTTGATCTGGGAGGAGATCATGGCAGTGCACTCCAGCCTGGGAAACAGAGGGAGACTCCATCTCAAAAAAAAAAAAGAAAAGAAAAGCTGCCTAGCTCCCTCACAATTTGCCTTTCACTGCATATACAATTTACTCTGGAGAAGAGTGTAGAGATATAGTCACTTATGCCTTACTCTGGCTTAGTGAAACAATAGTGGAGAGGAAGCAATCAGATATGTATTTGCCTCCCATAAGCAGAGGAATGACTTTAAAATCTGTCTTTTATTCACAAGGAATTTGCTTGTGGGCAAATTGTGAGAGAGGTAGGCAGCTTTGTTTGTTTGTTTGTTTGTTTGTTTGTTTGTTTGTTTGTTTGTTTGTTTGTTTGTTGAGACAGAGTCTCCCTCTGTTTCTTCGGCTGAAGTGCAGTGGCGTGATCTCAGCTCACTTCATCACCCAGGTTCAAACAATTCTCCCTGCCTCAGCCTCCCTAGTAGCTGGGATTACAGGCATCTGCCACCACGCCTGGCTAATTTTTGTGTTTTTAGTGGAGATGGGGTTTCACCATGTTAACTAGGCTGGTCTCAAACTACTGACCTCAGGTGATCTGCCTGCCTCAGCCTCCCAAAGTCCTGGGATTACAGACATGAGCCACCTTGCCTGGCCATATGTAGCTTTTTAATATTTGTAGCTATCTTGTTGAGGAATAGAATGGGAGGTGGGTTTGCCTAACAGTTCCCAGCTTGACTTTTCCCTTTGGCTTAGTGGTTTTGGGGTCCCAAGATTTATTTTCCTTTCACATCCTAAAGCACAGCAGTTTGTGGCAATGGCCACCTAGAAGCAATTCTCTTGCCACAGTCAGAGAGTAACACACCAACAAGGTCTCCCATAGCTGGGTATGGAGGGCAGCGATAGCGGTGGTGATATATTCAGTACTGTAGGTTTGTGGAATGGAGCCTGGCCTAGGCAGCTGCTACAGGCTGTTGAAGCTTTTCCTGTCCAAACCTGGTGAGAGGTTATTTACTCTTCGACCCTGATCTGTTTCCTGATATTACTTGCGTATGTTCTTGCTACATCAGCTGAGGTCTCTCATACCACCAGAATCAGACAAATGATCTGTACTTTTTCTTGGAGCATTGGCCTCACAGAAACCCAGCAGTCACTATTCTGCCCTCAAGGGCAATCTCTTGAGACTGAGGATGATGGCTGCAGAGCAGAAGGAACCGGTTGCACAGGCATAGTGACCACAGCAATGTTGTTCATTTGCAGAGGAGATGGATGGTAGGAACGCTGCCCTCCTCAAGGTAAAGGCAGTGTCAGAGTTGCCTGCCCAGGGTGTAGGTCCATCAGGTGCCCTTCAAAAAAAGCAAAAAAAAAAAAAAAAAAAAAAAGACCCAAAGTCATTTCCACCCAGTTAGCCTCAACTAGACAATGTGAACTTACCAACCAAGGTCAGAGTTAACGCTCAAAAAAGAAGGGGCAATTAGGTACAGAGACTCTGGGGTCCTGGCACATTGGGTGAACTCTTCTCCCTCCCCAGTGTCTGCAAAGAATGATGAGGGAGTGGCTGATGTAGCCGCTCCCTGAACCAGCCATACCAAAGCTTGATTGTACCCACTACCTGCAGGTGGAAAGGAGAATTCCACGTTGAAATGGAATTCAGGGCCCACAGCCGTAAACAGCGTTCTATTGTCAGATTGTATCATACCAGGAAAGTCCAACACATGACAAAGATAATCATCACAGTTTAAGAGTTTGGATGCAAGGCCAGGAGCAGTGGCTCACGCCTATAATCCTAGCACTTTGGGAGGCCGAGGCAGGCAGATGATGAGGTCAGAGTTCAAGACCAGCCTGGCCAAGATGGTGAAACTCCATCTCTACTAAAAGTAAAAAAAAAAATTAACCAGACGTGGTGGCGGGCGCCTGTAATCCCAGCTACAAGGGAAGCTGAGGCAGGAGAATCGCTTGAACCCAGTGGGGCAGAGATTGCAGTGAGATTCCCACTGCACTCCAGCCTGGGTGACAGAGTGAGACTCTGTCTTAAAAAAGAATAAAAAGAGTGTGGATTCTACCTGCTTGTTGGAAAAGAACAGCCACCTATATATCTATAGCATGCCCATGGTAATCAGAATCCTCTGTAACCAACTATCAATTGTGAATTGGTCAGACAACAAGTTACTATGCCAAGTCCACTCTGAGCCACAGACCAAAGTTGCTGGCAGCAATACATTCTCCATGAGCACCAGTGTCTCCTTCGTAGGTCAAATGAACCCTCATTGAGTCACCTCAGACCTCCATGGGGCTGTGGCTATTGCAGTAGATCCAAGCATGGATCTAGTACACCAAAGGGGATGTGACACCCTGTCATCTTGATCAGCTTTTTCCTTCCAGATGCTCTCTTCAAGATGCAGTGCCTTACTGTGGCTTGTGTGTATATCACAGACAGATTGGGTTTGTGGTTGAATTGCCATATTTGTTTCCATGGCAGGGATTACCACATAAATTACCGGGGTCTGCCACGTCCCCAGGGATCAGACAATGATCCGTAAAGGAAACCCGAAAGAAGAGAGTCATGTAGAGGGAGGCTCCCTGGGACCTAGCCAGCCCAAAATGCCTAAGGTGAGCCCACAGGAGGAAGCTGGGGGAGTAACCACTCCAACCTTCTCCTTCCCTCCAATCTTGTTCCAGAGATGCCCTGTTGGCCAAACTCAGCTGGAAGCCACAGTGCAAGGGAACGCAGTGATATAATTCATACAGATTGGCCCACTGGCAGGAGAAGCAGAGGAGGGTTGGAGCGTGGACCTGGAAAGGCAAGAAGAAAACTGACACACAAGAGAGGGGTGTGACTCAAAAAAGAGAGGTGAAGAGAGTCCTCACTAAAAAGAAGTCATTTGAGCAAAGATCTGAAGGAATACAGTAACCTATCTGCTATGGCCCAAATGTGTCCCCCAAAATTAGTGTGTTGGAAACTTAATCCCCAGTGTAGTAGTTCTGCAATACAGAAATACGTAGCCTTCTAGGAGGTGGTTAGGTCATGAGGGCTCTGACCTCAAGAATGGATTAATATCCTCATAAAAGGGCTTGACAGGCCAGGCACGGTGGCTCATGCCTGTAATCCCAGCACTTTGGGAGGCTGAGGCGGACAGATCATAAGGTCAAGAGATCAAGACCATCTGGCCAACATGGTGAAACCCCGTCTCTACTAAAAATACAAAAATTTACTGGGTGTGGTGGTGCATACCTGTAGTCTCAGCTACTTGGGAGGCTGAGGCAGGAGAATCGCTTGAACCCAGGAGGCAGAGGTTGCAGTGAGCCGAGATTGTGCCACTGCACTCTAGCCTGGCGACAGAATGAGACTCTGTCTCAAAAAAAAAAAAAAAAAGTGGGGGCCGGGCGCAGTGGCTCATGCCTGTAATCCCAGTACTTTGGGAGGCCAAGGCCGGCAGATCACAAGGTCAAGAGATGGAGACCCATCTGGCCAACATGGTGAAACCCCATCTCTACTAAAAATACAAAAATGAGCCAGACGTGTTGGCAAATGCCTGTAGTCCCAGCTACCCCAGAGGCTGAGGCAGGAGAATCACTTGAACCCGGGATACAGAGGTTGCAGTGAGCCAAGATCGTGCCACTGCACTCCAGCCTGGAGACAGAGGGAGACTTTCATCTCAAAAAAAATAAGAGGGCTTGACAGAAGGAGTTTGTTTCCTTTTGCCCTTCCACCTTCTGAAATGTGAAGACACAGCAGTCCTTCTTTCCAGAGGACATAGAGTTCAAGGTGTCATCTTGAAAGCAGACACTGGGTCCTCACTAGACATTGAACCTGCCTGTGCCTTGTTCTTGGAGCCACCCCCCCAACTTCCAGAATTGTCAGAAATACATTTCTGTTCTTACAAATTAAATTACTCAGTCTTTCATGGATTGCTTAAGTCCAGGAGTTTGAGGCCAGCCTGGGCAACACAGCAAGACCGCATCTCAAGAAAAAATATTACCCAATTCGTGGTATTTTGCTATAGCAGCACAAAATGGACTAGGTCAGAAACCAGTACCAGAGGAGTAGAGTGTTGCTGTAATTAACCAAAAAATGTGGAAGTGGCTTTGGAACTAGTGAATGGGTAGAGGCTGAAAGAGTTTTTTGTTGTTGTTTTTTTTTTTTTTTGAGATGGAGTCTCACTTTGTCGCCCAGGTTGGAGTGCAATGGCATGATTTCGGCTTACTGCAATCTCCACCTCCTGGGTTCAAGCGATTCTCTCACCTCAGCCTCCCAACTAGCTGGGATTACAGGCACATGCTACCATGCCAGGCTAATTTTTCTTTTCTTGTAGACAGGGTTTTGCCATGTTGCCCAGGCTTGTCTCGAACTCCTGGACTCAAGTGATCCTCCCGCCTCAGGCTCCCAAAGTGCTGGGATTACAGGAGTGAGCCACCATGATCGGCCTTTATTTACAGTTGACTACAGATCTTTTCTTGAGATGGAGTCTTGCTCTGTTGCCCAGGCTGGAGTACAGTGGTGAGATCTTGGCTCACTGCAACCCCATCTCCCAGGTCCAAGCTATTCTCCTGCCTCAGCCTCCCAAGTAGCTGGGATTATAAGTGCCTGCCACCACTCCCAGCTAATTTTTGTATTTTTAGTAGAGACAGAGTTTTGCCATGTTGGCCAGGCTGGTCTTGAACTCATGACCTCAAGTGATCCACCCACCTCAGCCTCTCAAAGTGCTGGGATTATAGGCATGAGCCACTGCAGCCAGCCTGAAAATTTTGAAGTGAATGCTGGGAAAAGTTGTATTGCCATGAATGAAATAGTGAGGGGATTCTGATGAGGACTCAGAGAAGAGCCACAGGGAAAGCCTCAGTTTTCTTAGAGGTTGCCTATGCAGTGCTGATCAGAATGCTGGTAGAAAGATGGACAGCAAAGGCCATTCTGATAAGATCCCAGATGAAAATGGAGCAAGGTATTTGAAACTGAAGGAAAGTCCATCCTTGTGATAAAGTGGCCAGGAACATGGCTGTATTGTATTCATGTCCTAGAACTTTATGGAAGGCAGAACTTAAGAGTGTGAAATGAAAATAAATCTCAGAACTCCAAAATCATTAAACCAAAGGGGAAAGTCAAGCTGGGAACTGCGATGGCAAACCTGCCATTCTCTTCCTAACGATGATAGCTACAAGATTAAAAAGCTACAGACCTCCCTCACAATTCACCCACAAGGAAATTCCCTGTGAATAAAGAACTCAAAGCTGTCCTTCTGCTCACATGAGACAAATGCATATCTGATTGCTTCCTCTGCCCTATTGTTTCATCAAGCCAGACTAAGGCATAAGTGACTCTTCCTTTACCCTCCTCTCATGAGTAAATTGTGTATTCAGTGAAAGTCTAATTAGAAACTTGAAAGAATACAATCGTTTGTCTCTTATCTACCTATGACCTGGAAGCTCCCTACCCACTTTGAGTTGTCTTCCCTTTCCCTGAACCAACATATATGTTACAAATATTGATTGATGTCTCATGTCTCCCTAAAATGTGTAAAAACAAGCTGTGCCGGCCGGGCGCGGTGGCTCAAGCCTGTAATCCCAGCACTTTGGGAGGCCAAGGCGGGTGGATCACGAGGTCAAGAGATCGAGACCATCCTGGTCAACATGGTGAAACCCCGTCTCTACTAAAAATACAAAAAATTAGCTGGGCATGGTGGCACATGCCTGTAATCCCAGCTACTCAGGAGGCTGAGGCAGGAGAATTGCCTGAACCCAGGAGTCGGAGGTTGCGGTGAGCCGAGATCGCGCCATTGCACTCCAGCCTGGGTAACAAGAGCGAAACTCCGTCTCAAAAAAAAAAAAAAAAAAAAAAAAACAAGCTGTACCCAGTCACCTTGGGCACATGTCCTCAGGACCTCCTGAGGCTGTGTCACAGGCATGTCCTTAACCTTGGCAAAAGAAACTTTCTACATTGATTGACACTTGTCTCAGATACTTTTTACAAATTGGCAATCATGAAGGGATTCTGAATGGAAGTGGCCCTGACTTTTGACAAATTTCCTATTGGTGTTTGGTACCAGCTTAAGCTATCTTCATTCAACCCAATAGGACAATTTGCTGAGGCCTGGGAGCTCCCCTCCTTCCAGAGAATTCTTGATCTCCCAAAATTTGGTAGAGATCTAAAGTTTATTTTGCTGTACAACTGCTTTTCTGAAGTTTTACATGCTTCCAACAAGGAAGGTAAGTTTTCCTGCTTCCATGGCCATAGAAGGCAGGTAACTCTGGAGGTTAAGCTCACTTCCAACAGGGAAGCTGAGTTTGAGTTTCTTCCTACGTCTAAGATGGTAGGGAACCGTCTTCAGCCTGCAGCTCATTTCTAAGTAACTACCTGAACTGGATTTTTTTTTAATTGTTTATTTGTTTGGTCTTGGAAATTCTCTTTAATGACTAAAGGTTAAAATTGACAGCTAGGCATGGTGGCTCACGCCTGTAATCCCAGCACTGTGGGAGGCAGAGAGAGGCAAGTAGATAGCTTGAGCCCAGGAGTTCAAGATCAGCCTGGGCAACATGGTAAAACCCTGTCTCTACAAGAAAAAAATACAAAAAATTAGCCAGGCACAGTGGCACACACCTGTAGTTCCAGCTACATGGGAGGCTGAGGTGGGAGGATCACTTCAGCCTGGGAAGTCAAGGCTGCAATGACCCATGATCACACTACTGTACTTCAGCCTGGGTGACAGGAGTGAGAGTGAGGCCTTGTCTCAAAAAGAAATAAAATTGACAGCTGGTCTTAATTTCTCCTTACCATGAGAACACTCAGTGATCATATTGTGTTTTTTTGTTGTTGTTCCAGTCTTTGTCCCATCAGATTTTTCCAACTCTTGGCAGTGGCTCACACCTGTAATCCCAGCACTTTGGGAGGCCAAGGCAGGCAGATCACAAGATCAGGAGATCAAGACCATCCTGGCCAACATGGTGAAACCCCGTCTCTACTAAAAATACAAAAAAAATTAGCCGGGCATGTACTAGAGGTTTTTTCCCTCCTAGGAAGTTGTTTAGGATTCTAATTCTAGTTCAGAGGTACATTCCAGAGTCTTCTTCATTGTTGAATATCCTCTGGAAATTAATCTCAATTGGCTCGTGTGAGCATTTGCATGAAAAACTGAACTGTGGTGTTCATAGACAAATGAGAGAATGAGTTTCTTCAGCCCCGAAGAGAATGGACATTTTGCTCCTCCCAGGAGCAAAGGGCACCCCTAGGTCACTGTGGGCTAAGTGGGAGTGTCTCAGAGATTGACTCCCAGCAATGTGCCAAGGCCCTACAGGAAACTCTTAACAAAATTAGTTTAAAAGGCTAATTTAGGCTGGTCTCAGTGGCTCACGCCTGTCATCCCAACACTTTGAAAGGCCTAGGCAGGTGCATCACTTGAGGCCAGGAGTTTGACACCAGCCTGGCCAATGTAGTGAAACCCCTTCTCTACTAAAAATGCAAAAATTAGCCAGGCATGGTGACACATGCCTGTAGTTCCAGCTCCTCAGGAGGCTGAAGCAAGAGAATCGTTTGAACCCAAAAGGTGGAGGCTGCAGTGAGCCAAGATCACACCACTGCACTCCAGCCTGGAAAACAGAGTGAGACTCCATCACACACACACACACACACACACACACACAAAACAGAAAAACAAACAAAAAGGCTCATCCAGGAAGCAATTAGGATCTGGTCACCCCACACTGAGCCCTCCTGGAGGTGCTAGACCTCTGGAGAGAGAAACAGAGAAAATAAAAGTGCAGCAACATCTCAGTGGTGACACATTGTGGAATCCCACCCACAATCAGCACACTTCAGTCCACTCCACTAAACCCTAGACCACAGCTCAGTTCCTCCTTTTAAGAAAAACATATGGGGCCAGGCACAGTGGTTCAGGCCTGTAATCCCAGCACTTTGGAAGATTGAGGTGGGCGAAATACCTGAACTCAGGAGTTCAAGACCAGCCTGGGCAACACAGTGAAACCCCGTCTCTACTAAAATACAAAAAATTAGCCAGGCATGCTCCTGTAGTCGCAGCTACTTAGGAGGCTGAGGCAGGAGAACTACTTGAACCCAGGAGGTGGAGGTTGCAGTGAGCCAAGATTGCACCACTGCATGCCAGCCTGGGTGACAGAGTAAGACTTAGTCTCCAAAAATATATATATAAATTAAAATTTTTTTTTTAAATTGTGGGATACAAATCATTTAAGAATGAGGATAAACAGGCCAGGCACCATGGCACATACCTGCAATCTCAGCACTTTGGGAGGCCAAGGTGGGCAGATCATCTGAGGTCAGGAGTTTGAGACCAGCCTGACCATCGTGGAGAAACTCTGTCTCTACTAAAAATACAAAATTAGCCAGGCGTGGTGGTGCATGACTGTAATTCCAGCTACTCGGGAGGCTGGGCAGGATCGTTTGAACCCAGGAGGCAGAGGTTGCAGTGAGCCGGAATTGTGCCATTGTGTTGCAGCCTGGGCAACAGGAGCAAAATTCCATCTCAGAAAAAAAAAAAAAGAATGAGGATAGACAAGGACGGGCACCCCATTTGGTTTTATGGTGCCTCTACTTGCAAGTGGTCATATAAATGGAAGGGCATCCCCTATTTTCTCATACTCCGGCTGGTTACACATTAGGTCTGTTCTTGTGCACATTTTAAACTGAGGGGCCAATTACATCAAGAAAAATTTGGAACTTGAAGGTCAACCTACAACTATAAAGTTCCCAAGTTTGTTATCTCTCTTCTTTCTTTTCTGCTTGCTTTAAGTCTGCTGTAATATTTCTACTGAGATAAAATCCACTGTTTGTATCCAACCATTCCTTTTTGTTATTGTTTGCAAACTGGTCAGTTTGTATTAATATCTCACAGTTCTGAAGTGAAAGCTATAGGATCTTTCTATGAGTGTGTATGTGTGTGTTTATGTACATGTACCCATATTTTGTTATGTGTTTTTGGCCACAAGGTACCAAACTGGCTTAAAGTTAAAGAGTATTCAAAAATTAAATAATAAGCCCAGGCCTGTAATCCCAGCACTTTGGGAGGCTGAGGCAGGCAGATTACCTGAGTCAGGAGTTCAAGACCAGCCTGGCCAACATGGTGAAACTCCATCTCCTCTAAAAATACAAAAATTAGCCAGATATGATGGTGGGCACCTGTAATCCCAGCTACTCAGGAGGCTGAGGCAGGAGAATCACTTGAACCTGGGAGTTGGAGGTTGCAGTGAGCTAAGATTGCACCATTGCTTTCTAGCCTGGATGATAAGAGTGAAACTTAATCTCAAAATATAAACTAAAATAAAATAATTTGGCCAGGCATTGTGGCTAACACTGTAATTCCAGCACTTTCGGAGGCTGAGGCAGGTGGATTCCCTGAGGTCAGGAGTTTAAGACCAGTCGGGCCAACATGGTGAAACCCTATCTCTACTAAAAATACAAAAAAATTAGCCAGGCGTGGTGGCATGTGCCTATAATCCCAGCTACTTGGGAAGCTGAGGCAGGAGAATTACTTGAACCAGGGAGGCGGGGGTTGCATGAGCCAAGACTGCACCACTGCACTCCTGCCTGGGTGACAGAGAAAGACTGTCTGGAAAAAAAACAACAAAATTAGATAAATAATAATTTGGTAAATGTAATGGAATACTGTCTGAAAAAAAAACAACAAAATTAAATAAATAATAATTTGGTAAATGTAATGGAATAAATACAACATATTATCTAGATAAACATAATTTATAATCTAAAGTTATATTGAATTAAATAGAGATTTTATTAAATGGGGATTTTCCAATAAAAAAAAATACATATATATGGTAGGAAAACATTCTTTCTAAAAAATATGTGTCTTGTTAAGAGGTAAATAATTTTTTTCTAATTTGAAGCTTATTTAAAGGTTACCTATAAAACAAGGTAAAAGGAACTAGAAAATAAGAGAGATGTAAAGAAATTTATAGAAATAAAGAGGTATTGTTGATAAGAAAGCTTAAAGAAATATAATTTTATATGAGAGAAAATCTCGTATGGTAAGTTTTATAAAGTGGTTGTTTAAGAAAAAACGATGTTCAGGACAAACCAGAAAGTCTAAGCATGTCATGAATGATCTGTGTAAGTTGCAATAAGGTTTATGGATTTATATGATCAAAGTTGTCTATAATTGAAGGGAAATTATTTATAATGGTCTTTCTAGAGATTGGGTTTTGATTTTTTTTTTTTAGATTGTGTCTCGTTCTATCATCCGCGTTGGAGTGCAGTGGCATGGAGGCAACCTCTGCCTCCTGGGTTCAAGCGATTCTCCTGCCTCAGCCTCCCAAGTAGCTGGGATTACAGGGGCCTACCACCACGTCCGGCTAATTTTTGTATTTTTAGTAGACATGGGATTCTGCCATGTTGGGCAGGCTGGTCTCAAACTCCTGACCTCAAGTGATCCTCCCATCTCAGCCTCCCAAAGTGCAGGTTTTGATATTTTTAAAAACCACTTATACAGTAAAGAATTAGTTAGAACAATAAAATGTTCTTAAGGCATTGCTTTACTATTAATAAAATTACAAGACATTATGATTTTATTATGCAAAGTTCAACTTTTATTGCTGTTTTCAGCTTTCCCTTCCTCTTTTAAAAGGCCTAAAGTAGTAACTCTATCCTTCAATGCATTTTCAGCTCCTATAAGTTTTTTTTTCCTTTGGGTTCTAATTATTATGGCCCAATGCTAAAAATGTTTTATCTTAAAAGTCTAAAGGAAATTTTTTTCTCCAATGTAATATTCTGTGCTCTTGGCTTTAAATTGTTCTGTGGATCCAAAAATTTTCACTTATGATGCAAGAAACACTCTTCCTATGTCTAATTAATTCAAGTACCCTTTACATTGGTTTTGACTTGCAGTTACCTAAATGGACTCCCCATAGGAAACAGCACTCACACCACAGAAGGTCTGTTCCCTATGGGGAGTCCATTTAGATAGCTACAAGTTTTGACTCCTTAATGGTGCTTGCAAAAACTTGCAGTTATCTAAATTGACTCTCCAGAGGGAAGAGCAGTCACACCACAGTTGCCTTTGGGTAACTGGCCTAACAAACAGATTTTATGCTTTATTGAAATAATTCCTATGTAATTGTTATTAAGCTTTTGTTTGCTTAGAGATTTTTAAAAAAATAAATTAAGGTTATTACATCCATGTAACTTTCTTTAGGTTCTTTTAAAGTCCTTGAGTCATTAAGTTACAGGGCTTTGACTCCTGTGTCTAAAAAAGATATCAAGTCCTGGTAAATCTTAAATACTGACAGCAATTAAAGCCTCGTCTTCAGACCCAGTAGAAGATGCCAATCAAAATAAACTGCATTCATGAGACACAAGGCCATAAATTAAAACTATTCAACTCATCAAGGCCCAGGGACTATGGTGGAAGAGGTGGGCATGTGAGATTGTAAGAGTCAATTTCATGAGACAAAATAAGTTCAGTTTCTCTATAAATTAACTATTAATATCAAAGACACACACTGATGCAAAACCAGCATATGGACTCCTGTGTCAGATTAACAAGGTTTTCTTGGAGCATTAACTTACTCCTTAATAAAAGATTATAAAGCTTTTAAAAAGGTTCATGAAAATTATACCTTATGGTCAAGATGCTTAAAATTGTATAGATTGTTTACAAAATTTTGAGAAACAAATTGAATTGGCCTCATTCTGTCATTATTTGGGTTTATTGTTTGGGAAATTAGGTCTCCTCTCTCAAAGAATAAAGATTTTTGTCTTTTTTTTGAAATTTGTATAACTTTCTCTAAATGAATGACTTATTTTACAATGATCTGTGATTCTATTTTGTGATATGAAGTGTTTTAAGCTTTTTTATGTTTGACAAACTTTCCAAAATCAAATTCTAACTATGGTCGTCATTAATTTTTTTACATTAGTGCCCTGAAGTGCAAAAGAGACATATTCGGCTTATTCAATATAATAATATTGTACAGGAAATATTGTCAAATATGAAACAGTGTTTAACTTTCTTTGGATTATATTCATATAAATGTGTTATTAGCATGTGTTCTAGAATTGTATTAAATTCCTGTGTTTCTGATATGTCTTAGCATATGGCATCAGTAAGAAACAATGTAAGCAAAGATGTGGACGCATTTGGGGAATGGCAGGTCCTCTGGTTTGGTTAGAATACATGAGACTTGCATGAGGAGAGATGATTTTAGGTAGAACACCAGCATAACACTAAGTCACACTGAATCAAACAGTGAGATAATGATTTCCTTTCCAGTTCTCATTACAAAGAAAAGTCCTGGCTAGGTGCTGGCTTGTCTTTCAAGCTCTAACACTTGCTGATCTCACTTTATAACACAAAACTCACCAGCTCAGATCTGTCAGTGGGCAACTGAGCTCTGGTTGAAACTCAATAACATGAGCTGGGCACGGTGGCTCACACCTGTAATCCCAGCACTTTGGGAGGCCGGAGCAGGTTGATCACCTGAGGTCAGAAGTTCCAGGCCAGCCTGGCCAACATGGTGAAACCCTGTCTCTACTAAAAATACAAAAATTATCCAGGCGTGGTGGCAGGCACCTGTAATCCCAGCCACTTGGGAGGCTGAGGCTGGAGAATCGCTTGAACCCAGGAGGTGGATGTTGCAGTGAGCCGAGATCACACCATTGCACTCCAACCTGGGCGACAAGAGTGAAACTCTATCCCAAAAAAAATAATGAGCAAGGGACATGGTCAGATACAGACTTGGCAGGGCTGGCTCTGGCCTCTGGGTGCAGAATGAGAGGGGAAACTAGGGGCTGGTACAGTAGTGGGGAGACTCAGGGTGAACAGCACAGGGCCAGGGAGGAACCAGGATAGATACAACTGAAACAGAAGGCTCTAGAAAGGGATGGTTCTAGAACCCTATTAGGCCATGCCACTATGTGCTACCTGGTAGACCTGCTGTGTAGATTTCTTTCCAGAGGCAATCGTTCAGCCTCTGATCCTCCTCCTGGCTCCTAGGCACCTTTCTGCTATAACTTACTACAAACATGCAATAGGCTGTGACTGGGTTTTACTGAGTCAAGATAACATCCGCAGAGGCCAGCCCATCTTGGCCTCATTAGCTGGGGGAACTGGAAGTACAGTCAGACAGGGTGGGGCAAATCGACTCATGCCTCCTCATTCTGTGTTTCTTCGTGGGAAAATTCTGATGTCTGCTTGACCGCCTGTGGTGATTCATTTTATTCCATATGATGAACATCTGATCCTCTAGGACCTTCAGCTTCATTTCGCTGAACAGAAGCCGTTGGAGGACCTTTTCCTGGAGGGCAAAGCAGGAATGCATTCTCTCAACTTCTTTCATGTTCTTGGCCTTGTTCTTGGAGTCGTTTTCGGAAGCCTTTGGTTTCTCTTCTTCCTTCTAAGCTCCCCACCACCAGGAAAAGGGGAAAGTTGGTTAATAATGATAATCCCTTCCTTGTTTGAACACCTGCTTTGTGCCAGGTGGTTTACAAACATTATCTTAATAGATTCTCACCACTGCCTGCAAGGGGAGCGTCTTTGCCTCATTTTGTGGAGACTTGGGACCCAGCAATGGAGGTCATTTTCTTATTTTTAAGATGGAGTTTCACTCTTGTTGCCTAGGCTGGAGTGCAATGGCGCCATCTTGGCTCACTGAATCTCCACCTCCTGGGTTCAAGTGATTCTCCAGCCTCAGCCTCCCGAGTAGCTGGGATTACAGGTGCCTGCCACCACGCCTGGCTAATTTTTGTATTTTTAGTAGAGATGGGGTTTTGCCATGTTAACCAGGCTAGTCTCAAACTCCTGACCTCAGGTGATCTGCCCGCCTTAGCCTCCCAAAGTGCTGGGATTACAGGTGTGAGCCACCACTCTCTGCTGGGAAGTCACTTTCTCAGCATCACACAGCCTCAAATTCCTGAGTCCCCCACTGGCCTTTGGTTCATAGGAATGCATGACATGGCTCGCTAATCTGCCAGTTGCAGTGGACATAAAGCCCTTAGCCTAAATACATCTATCTCCAGGAGACTGTTTTTCCAATGTGCCTCTCTGAGCATTTTGTCAGGCTCAGCGTGATCTCAAACTGCAAAATCTCAATGGTCTCATGACATGCTTTTATCTCTCTGATTCTCATCTCTCCCTCCCCTGGTTAAAAATAACACTCAATTTTTTTCTTTTTGGATTCAGCTATAAACTAATGGTCTTTAAAAATATTTAAAATTTTTTGGGAGGCCGAGGCAGGCGGATCACAAGGTCAAGAGATAGAGACCATCCTGGCCAACATAGTGAAACCCCATCTCTACTAAAAATACAAAAAAATTAGCTGGGCGTGGTGGCGCATGCCTGTAGTCCAAGTTACTCGGGAGGCTGAGGCAGAAGGATTGCTTGAACCTGGGAGGTGAAGGTTGCAGTGAGCCAAGGTGGCGCCACTGCACTCCAGCCTGGTGCCTGGTGATGGAGTGAGACTCTGTCTCAAAAAAAAAAAAAAATTTAAAAATTAGGCGGTGTGGTGGCTCATGCCTGTAATCCCCACACCTTGGAAGTCCGAGGCAGGAGGATCACTTGAGCCCAGGAGTTTGAAACTAGCCTGGGCAAGATGGTAAATCTCATCTCTACAAAAACTAGAAAAAATTACCCCTGTGGCACACCTGTAGTCCCAGCTACTTGGGAGGCTGAGGTGGAAGGATCACCTGAGCCCACTGAGGTCGAGGCTGCAGTGAGCCATGGTTGTGCCATTGCATCCAGCCTGGGCCACAGAGTGAGACCTGTCTCAAAAAGCTAAATACATAAATAAAATAAAATGGTTAACTGAAAAAAATTAAACATATTTGACATGCAAAAAAAAGCTAAATAATACAACAAATGCTCATATTCCCATATTAACTTAAGAAATAAAATATAAATATAACTAAAGTTCTCTTTGGACTCTCCCACCCACAGCGTTCTCCCCATTCTTTGAATATCATCATTTCAACTGTAATCCTGCATTTAATATTTATTTTTCCATGCATTTCTTTATAAAGTAGTTCTCAATGGAAGGCATTCTGCCCTCCCCAGGGAACATTTGGCAATGTCTGGAAATACGTTTAATTGTCACAAAATCGGGGGTGTGCTACTTGGCATCTCATGGGTGGGGGCCGGAGATGCCCCTAAGCTAAAAATGCACAAGTGATAGGTGAGCCCCCCACAACGAAGAATCCTCTGGCCCAAAATGTCAATAATGCCACAGTTGAAACAACCTGCCTTAAACTACTTTCACTGCACATATGCATCCATAAACAAGATAGGCTGTTGTTTTGTTTTGTTTTTCTTTTTTGAGGTGGAGTCTTGCTCTGTAGCCCACGCTGGAATGCAGTGGTGTGATCTCAGCTCACTGCAACCTCTGCCTTCCAGGTCCTGGTTCAAGCAATTCTCCTACCTCAGCCTCGCAAATAGCTGGGATTACAGGCACAAGCCATCATACCCAGCTAATTTTTTGTATTTTTTAGTAGAGACAGGGTTTCACCATGTTGGCCAGTCTGAACTCCTGACCTCCTGATCTGCCTGCCTCGGCCTCCCAAAGTGCTGGGATTATAGGCATGAGCCACTGCCCCGAGCCTTTTTTTTTTTTTTTTTTTTTGAGACAATCTCACTCCGTCACCCAGGCTGGAGTGCAGTGGCATGATCATAGTCCACTGCAGCCTCAACTTCCTGGGCTCAGGTGATTCTCCAGCCTCAGTCTCCTGAGTAGCTGGGACTATAGGCGCATACCATGCCTGGCTCATTTTTGTATTTTTTGCAGATACATAGTTTCACCATGTTGCCGGGCTGTTCTCGAACTCCCAGCTTCAAGTGGTCCACCTGCCTCGACATCCCAAAGTGCAGGGATTATAGGTGTGAGCCACTGTGCTGGGCTGTTTTGCATGCTTTTTGTTTTTGTTTTTAGATGGAGTCTTGCTCTGTCACCCAGGCTGGAGTGCAGTGGCATGATCTCAGCTCACGGTAACCTCTGCCTCCCGGGTTCAAGTGATTCTCCTGCCTCAGCCTCTTGAGTAGCTTGTATTACAGGTGCACTATGTTGGCCAGGCTGGTCTTGAACTCCTGACTTCAAGTGATCCACCTGCCTCAGCCTCTTAAAGTGCTGGTATTACAGATGTGATCCACTGCACCTGGCCTAGCATATTGGTTTTTTTTTTTTAACATTAAACAAAAGCTGTCATAATCTATGTACATTTCTGCTGTCTTTATTATTCTATTTTAGAGATATATCTATGTTCATCCATTTTAATTTAAAAAATTTTTTTTTCACATTAAAGTAGTTGTTACTCTTGACAAAGCATGCTGACATCAAACATGAAATAGGAGAGTTGGCCGGGAGCGGTGGCTCACGCCTATAATCCCAGCACCTTGGGAGGCCGAGGCGGGTGGATCACGAGGTCAAGAGATCGAGACCATCCTGGTCAACAAGGTGAAACCCCTTCTCTACTAAAAATACAAAAATTAGCTGGGCATGGTGGTGTGTGATTGTAGTCCCAGCTACTCGGGAGGCTGAGGCAGGAGAATTGCTTGAACCCAGAAGGCGGAGGTTGCGGTGAGCCGAGATCCTGCCATTGCACTCCAGTCTGGGTAACAACAGCGAAACTCCATCTCAAAAAAATAAAAAGGAAATAGGAGAGTCTGGGGTGGTCCTGATTTAACAGCTGAGGCAACTGATGCCCCTTGTGGAGGGAAGAAATTTGCCAGCACCACCTAAGAGGAAGCTGTAGAATGGTGATTTAGACCAGAGTCTTGGACTCCCCAGTCCAGCCCCATTATTTCGACACCTCCCTATTCCCTAACCCCCAACCTAATCTAGCTACAAATATCCCCTATCCCTGAGCTGAAGCCAAGGCCCGTCTTGCTCACCTGCTGGGGCTCTGGGAGGGTGAGCTTGTGTTCATGCTTGACCAGCCAGTTGCTAAGCAACAGCAGAAGGAATAGGAACCCAAACAAGACTGGCTTACAGCTCATCAGCCAAATTGCCACTGCGCCTATGGTGCCTGAGGAGGCAAGTATCCCATGGAGACTCCTAAAGAGAAATATCAGTTCTGCCAGCATTATGGCGTGAAGGCACACAGGCCCCAGGACCCTGCCTCAGGCCCCTCCATGACAAGAGTCACAGCTACCCACACCTCTGAGTCATAACCAGCTCCCTCCCACCACCCAGTTGCCACATAACAATAACTCCTTCTATGTCTGAAGCACCCACTATGTGCCAGATTCTTTGACAAGCAGTTTGCAAGTATTATCTCATGATGTCCTCACAAGAGCCAGGTGATGTAGGCCTCCTCATTCATTCACCAGTATTTTTGGGCCTAGCCACTGGCAAAGTAATGGCCAATACAGAGCCCTTACCATCACAGGGGCAAAGAAAAGCTATCCAAACTTGGACATAACTGCTTTCACAGTTATACTAGCCCATCTTGATGCTTTAGGGAATTATCTTTGTTTAATATAATATGTATAACAGACAAACCTATAGCAGGAAAAAAAGAAAAAATATAATATATAATATTGATTAGGTTTTGGACTCTGTACAGTTAGACATTAACTTTTTATTATTATTTTATTTTATTTTTGAGACAAGGTCTCATTGTGTTGCCCAGGTTGGAGTACGGTGGTGCAATCATGGCTCACTGAAGCCTTCAACTCCTGGGCTCTAGTGATCCTCCTGCCTCAGCCTCCTGAGTAGCTAGGACAACAGACATGTGCCACTACGCTCAGCTAATGTAAAAAAAAAAATTTTTTTTTGGCCAGGTGCAGTGATTTACGCCTGTAATCCCAGCACTTTGGGAGGCCAAGGCAGGTAGATCACCTAAGCTTGGGAGTTCCAGATCAGCCTGACCAACATGGAGAAACCCCATCTCTACTAAAAATAAGAAATTAGCCAGGTGTGGTGGCTCATACCTGTAATACCAGCTACTTGGGAGGCTGAGGCGGAAGAATTACTTGAATCCAGGAGGCGGAGGTTGCAGTGAGCCAAAGTCACTCCATTGCACTTCAGCCTGGGCAACAAGAGCGAAACCCCATCTCAAAAAAAATTTTTTTTATTTATTTTTTTTTAGAGACAGGGTCTTGCTATATTGCCTAGGCTGGTTTCAAACTCCAGCCTCAAGCAATTCTCTCACCTAGAGACATTAACTTTTATTATTATTTTATTTTATTTATTTATTTTCTTTTTTGAGACAGACTCTTGCTCTGTTGCCCAGGCTGCAGTGCAGTGGTGTGATCTTGGCTCACTGCAACCTTCGCCTCCCAGGTTCAAGCGATTCTCCTGCCTCAGCCTCCTGAGTAGTTGGGATTACAGGCACGCACCATCACACCTGTCTAATTTTTGTCATTTTCGTAGAGACAGGGTTTCGCCACGTTGGTCAGGCTGGTCGCAAACTCCTGGGCTCAAGCAATCGTTTCACCTCGGCTTCCCAAAGTGCTGGGATTACAGATGCAAGCCACTGTGCCTGGCCCTTACTGGGTTTTTAGGTTAGTTCTCCTTTATAGTTATTATGTATGGGGGACATGGTGTGCGAATGGGGTTGGGGGCCAGACAGAAGGAAGAGTATGAACAAAGGCTTGGAGACAAGACCAATTCCGTCTGCACTCAAACATGGATTTCCTAACTTCTCTCCATTTGATTACCATTGAAACTGCTGTGCTCTCCAAGTTTTTTGCCCAGTCCAAGCAGGACAATTATGAATAAATAAGACACCCTATCAGCATTATTTGTTTTCCCCCATTAGATTGTAAGTTCTTTGAAAGCAAGAACTTTATATTGTAACCCTTGTTACGTAGTAGGCAAGCATTAATAGATACTCGTTGAATTGACGAAAAATTGGATGAGTGAATGAACGAACGCACCCATGCAAACCCTTCGGAGGTTTAGTCTGGCCCAGAAGCCCTAAGACCACGGACTGTGCCAGGTCCCGTTCCAAAAGCAGGGGAGACGCTCTAGGCAAGCTACACATTCTTGGCTGCGGTGCCGCTCTAGCCGCAAGAACGCCGCTCTATGGCTGCGTGGGAGGGGCGGGGCTCGTGGGCGTCTCCGGCCCTTTTTGTCCCGGCGCGGCGGGAGCGCGCTTAGCGCTTGCGTACGCGACGGCGGTTGGCGGCGCGCGGGCGACGTGAAGCGAGGCGAGTCGAGGCGGTTCGGACCCACGGAGCGACAGACCGAGCGGCCCCTACGGCCGTCGGCGGCCCGGCGGCCCGAGATGTTGTCTGGGAAGAAGGCTGCAGCCGCAGCGGCGGCGGCTGCAGCGGCGGCAGCCGGGACGGAGGCTGGCCCCGGGACTGCGGGCAGTGCCGAGAACGGCTCTGAGGTGGCCGCGCCGCCCGCGGGCCTGTCGGGCCCAGCCGAGGTCGGGCCGGGGGCGGCCGGGGAGCGCACGCCCCGCAAGAAAGAGCCTCCGCGGGCCTCGCCCCCCGGGGGCCTGGCCGAACCGCCGGGGTCCGCAGGGCCTCAGGCCGGGCCTACCGTCGTGCCTGGGTCTGCGACCCCCATGGAAACTGGAATAGCAGAGACTCCGGAGGGGCGTCGGACTAGCAGGCGCAAGCGGGCGAAGGTAAGGCTCGACCCCTCCCTCAGACGACACCGCCGGGTGCAGAGCTTCCCCAGGCTGCTCCGCTCTCCCCCGCCGCTGCCGGGTCTTGGGCCCTTCGCCCCACGACCACCCACACCTTCCCCTGTATGGCTGTCCACGCCACGTCCCTTCTAGCTGGACGGGTGGGGTGAGAAAGGAAAGGTCTTTGCCGGTGTTGACTGCAGTCTTTGTGCTGGGTCGCTGGCATCGATGATCGCCGGGAGGGGTATTTTACTCCTTAGATCTTACTTGCACACCTTTTCATTTTCTTGGCTGGAAAAATGGCTCCCTGGCCTGGAGTTACGGTTGGCGTTCTTGGAGACATCACTTGTTTGTCCACAGATAGGTCTAGAAGCCGTTCGGCGGTGTTGATGGCGTTTCAGCTGGATGCACGAGGGGGCTGTAGATTTCTGAGATGGAAAAGAAAGGGTCGTTTTTGTTTTTGTTTGAGCCCCTGCTATGTGATAGGAGTTGTAGGCTTTTTCTTTTTTTCAATCCTCCCAGAGATCTTTTGGCATAGAATTTTGCAGATGAGGAAGCTGCTGTTTGAGAGGACAAATAACAGTTAGTCAAAATGCAAGTATATGGGAAGAAAAAGATTTGACTCCATCAGTATATGCAGACAATCTCTGTGTCCTAGATGCTGTGTTCAGCGTGTCACCAACATTACTTTGTTTTTTGTTTTTGCTAAATACCAACGGGCAGGTATTGCTAGCCCTATTTTAGGAATGAGTAAACTGAGGCACACAATTTAAGCAACTTACCCAAAGTCACAAAGCTAAGTAAGTGATGGAACTGGAATGGAATTCCCACATTCATGTTACAGGGTATCATCAGCCCTTGAAACAAAGGACCACATGGGACATTGTGGAGGGCACTGGGGTAGTATTAGGGCGCAGACTTTAGACTTGGGCCTTTTTTGGAGATTTTATGGTCTAGTTGGAAAAAAAAAACCTGGATATATATGTGCATATAACCAACATTTAAATAAAAATTTGCAAGTTATGTAATTTATGCTTGTAAAAAATTGTCTATACAATTTTTAAGTGTGAATACCAATTCAGTATGTATGCGGAGCTTCTTGAGGTGAGTATTACCCAGAGTGAGAGCCCTCAGATTTATCTGCCTACTTGAGCCAACTCTCTGAAATATAACCAGTGCTGGGTAAAATACCATTTTGGAGGCAAGACTTTCTGGAGCTTTTACCAAAGCATGGGTTAGGAAAGCACAGAGGTTGATGACACCAGCCCTCAGAAATGAAGTGAAGGGCAGGAATCAAGAGTGTTAATTTACGATTTTAATAGACAGGTGAACACAAGCCATGTATAAGATGTTTTTAAAAACAGGTTTATTGGCCAGGCACAGTGGCTCATGCCTGTACTCTCTGCAGCTATTCTGGAGCCTGAGTTAAGAGAATTGCTTGAACCTGGGAGGCGGTGGTTGTAGAGATTGTGCCACTGCGCTCTAGCCTGGGCAACAAGAGCGAAATTCTGTCTAAAACAAACAAAACAGATTTATTGGGATAATGCATGTATAATAAAATTCACTATTTTAAAATGTGCAATTCAGTGGTTTTTGGCTTATTTACAAGATTGTACGACACCACAATTGGTTTTAGAACCTTTTCATCGTTCTCAAAGACACTTGTATCATTAGCAATCACTTCCCATTCCTCCCTACCCTTAGTCCCTGGCAATCACTAATCTACTCTTTGTCTACAGATTTGTCTGTTGTAGACATTTTAAATAAAATATTACAATATGTGGCCTTTTGTATTTAGCATGTTTTCAGGGTTCATCCACTGATGATCCATTCAGTTTTATGGCTAAATAATATTCCATTGTATGGAGATACCAAATTTTGTTTATCCATTTATCATTGGATGGTCATTTGGATTTGTTTCTATGTCTTGGTTATTTTGCATGCTGCTGCTGCTGTGAACATTAATGTACAGTTTTTTTGTGTGTGAATATGTTTTAGTTCTCTTGGGTATGGGCCTGGGAGTAGAATTGCTGGGTTTTATGTTAATTCTAGGTTTAACTTTTGAGGTACAGCCAAACAGTTTTCCACAGCAACTGTACCATTTTACATTCCCATTAGTAAATATATGAGGGTTCCAGTTTCTCCAATATTCTTTTTTTTTTTTTTTTGAGACGGAGTCTGTCACCCAGGCTGGAATGTGGTGGTGTGATCTCTGCTTACTGCAGCTCCCCTCCTCCTGGATTTGAACGATTCTCCTGCCTTTGCCTGCTGGGTAGCTGGGATTCCAGGCACCTGCCACCAACCCTGACCAATTTTTGTAGGGATGGGGTTTCACCATGTTGGCCAGGATGGTCTTGAACTCCTGACCTCAAGTGATCTACCCACCTCAGCCTCTCAGAGTGCTGGGATTACAGGTGTGAGCCTCCTTGCCCAACCTTCATGTGCTTCTTGACATTTGATATTGTTTGTCTTTTACTATAGCCATCCTAGTGGGGCTGAAGTGGTATCTTGTTGTGGTTTTGATATGCATTTCCGTGTTTATTGGCCATTTTTTTATCTTTGATGAAATGACTATTCAAATCCTTGGCTCATTTTTAAAAATTGAGTTGTGGCCAGGTGTGGTGGCTCAGCACCTATAATCCCAGCACTTTGGGTCAGGAGTTTGAGACCAGCCTTTCCAATACAACGAAACTGTGTCTCTTTACTAAAAATAGAAAAATTAGCCAGGCATGGTGGCGTGTGCCTGTAACGCCAGCTACCCACAAGGCTGACACTTGTATCATTAGGAGATACAAGGAGAATTGCTGGAACCCGGGAGGCAGAGGCTGCAGTGAGCTGAGATTGTGCCACTGCACTCCAGCCTGGACAATACAGCAAGACTCCATCTCAAAAAAAAAAAAAAAAAAAAAAAAAAAGAGTTGTATTTATAATTTTCTACTAAGAGTTCTTTACATATTCTGGTTACAGAAATTTTTAATTTTGATGAGACCTGATTTATTTTTTCTTTTGTACCCTTTGCTTCTGGTGTTATATCTAATAAACCATTGCCTTGTCCAATGTCATGAGGATTTACTCCTATGTTTTCTTCTAAGAGTTTTATAGTTTTAGCTCTTGCATTTAGGTCTATAATCTTTCCTCAGTTAATTTTTGTATATAGTGTGAGGTAGGGGTTCAACTTCATTATTTTGCATGTTGTCCCAGCACAGTTTATTGAAGACTGTTCTTTTCCTCAACAAACGAATAGTTGGCACCCTTGTTGATTGACTGTAAGAGTTTATTTCTGGACTCTCAACTCTATTCCATTGATGTATTATATATTTCCATTCATGCCAGTACCACACCACCCTGATTACTTTAGTTTCATAGTAAGTTTGAAATTAGGAAGTGTGAGTTCCCCAACTTTGTTCTTCTTTTTCAAGATTGTTTTGGCTGTTCTGGATCCTTTCCATTTCCATATGAGTTTTAGGACCAGCTTATCAGTTTCTGCAAAAAAGGCTGCTGGGATTCTGGTTGTGATTGTGTTGAATCTGCAGATAAATTTGGGGCACACTATAAGATTTTACTATTATTTACTTTTTTAACCTGTCTCCTACAAGAAAGATTTCTTTTCTTAGTTACCTTATTGACTAATTTTTTGGAAACAAGGTCTCACTCTGTCACCCGTGCTGGAATGCAGTGGTACAATCATATCTCACTGTAACCTCAACCTCCCAGGCTCAAGTGATCCTCTTACTTCAGCCTCCTGAGTAGCTGAGACTACAGGTGTGCACAAACACTCCTGGGTAATTTTTAATTTTTTGTAGAGATGGCTTCTCTATGTGTTGCCCCATCTGGTCTCAAACTTCTGGGCTCAAGCAGTCCTCCTGCCATAGCCTCCCAAAGTGCTGAAATTACAGACATGGGCCACCTCACCCAACCAATATTTTTTTCTTTGTAATTTTAACTCCTCTTATTTATCCTTTTTTTTTTTTTTTTTTTTTTTTAATTATTATTAGGTCTTAAACTTGCAGAAGAAAAAATTAGTTATGTGTTTATGTGGAGCAGCAGCTAGAAAGCTAGCAACTAGCCAGTCTTGGGTTCCAGAGGAAACAGACTTTAGAGGATAGAGTATCCGTTTAAGGAATGAAAAGCAAGCTGAGGCCGGGATAGACAGGCCCTGTTTCAGTAGTTCTTAGGTGTATGCAAGGAAAAAAGTGTGTATATTTTATGACTTGGGAGCTCATTCAGTTTTTGGGACTGTACTTTAACAAAATTATATCATTACATAGTTAAAATCATGTTTAGGGTATTGGAAGGAGTCCATGCAATTGAGTGTCCCTGAAGCTTCGGTTTCATTAGTTTCAGAATAAATTCACTTTTGGATATGTATATGCTAAAATTATGGCAAAATATTTAAGGTTTGAAACTGGTAAATTGGGTTGGAACTTCAGGAACAACATACTCCTTTAGGAATGGTGGCCTTGAGCTCGGCCATGAAACAGCAGAATTTAGAAAAGTGTTCTCGAAAAGGGTGGACTTTTTGGAGTTAAGTGTTTCATCTTCCTCTGATTCATTTTCCTCAGGCAAATAAGTCCTACCTTGTAAAGTTTCGATAAAATATAAACAAAATGCTTATTGCAGTATTTGACATATAGTTAGTAGGTGACCAGTAATTAAATACTACCAGTGGAGAAAAGGAAGTGGTTTGAGAAGCATCAAGGGAATCCAGAGTGAACAACTGAATGTTGAGAACAGTGGACAAATGAATTTAGTTAGAGACAGGAATTGTCTAGGATCAAGACAGATTGAAGGCAACAGTTTTGTTGGGGTTGTAGGCTTGCGTCCAGGTTGTAGTGAGCATTAGATTTGTGCTGTCCAATGTGGTAGCCAGTAGCCACATGTGGCTATTAATTAAGTTGAAATTAAAAATTGTTTCTTCAGTCACACTAGCTACATGTAAGTGCTCAATAGCCCATGTTGAGGCCACAGTATTGGAAGCACAGATAGAGAACATTTCCATTATGACAAAAAGTTCTATCAGACAGCCTTGAACTAGATTATGAAGTGCAGACCATGAGTGCTATGAGACTTCAGAGAAGATAAATATATATATTTTTAAATTTAGAATAATTAAGAAATAAGCTGCAGAGGAGGTGGATCTTGAATTTATGGCATTGGATTAAAAGGAAAAGATGGAAGTAGCTTTAGAGAGCTTAGAGGTTGGCAGAACAGCATTGAGGATGTTTTGAGAAGTCTCTTACTGATTAGAATTAAGTTTGAATTCAAGCCGGGCATGGTGGTTCATGCCTGTAATCTCAGCACTTTGGGAAGCTAAGGTAGGCAGGTTAATTGAGCCCAGGAATTTGAGATCAACCGTAGCAACATGACAAAACCCTGTTTGTACAAAATTACAAAAATTAGCCAGATGTGGTGGCATGCACCTGTAGTCCTAGCTTCTTAGGAGGCTGAGGCAGGAGAGTTGCTTGAGCCTGGGAAGCAGAGGTTGCAGTGAGCTGAGATCATGCCACTGCTTTCCAGCCTTGGCAACAGTGAGACCCTGTCTTAAAAAAATTTTTTTGAAGGCAGTTTGCATAGTTCAAGCCAGAGAGTTTATATGCCGGTTTGAAAATTTTGAAGTTCATCTGTTAAGCAATTAGAAAATATCACATAATGAGAAAATTAATCTGGCGTTTGTGCCCTCAATATAAGGGAGAAAGGTTTTGTTTAATTTTTTTTTTTTTTTTTTTTTTGAGATGGAGCCTCGCTCTGTCGCCCACGCTGGAGTGCAATGGTGCCATCTTGGCTCTCTGCAACCCTGCCTTCGGGTTCAAATGATTGTCTGCCTCAGCCTCCCAAGTAACTGGGATTATGGGCGCCTACCACCATGCCCAGCTAATTTTTGTGTTTTTAGTAGAGACAGTGTTTCACTATGTTGGTCAGGCTGGTCAAATACTCCTGACCTCATGATCCGCCCACCTTGACCTCCCAAAGTGCTGGGATTACAGGTGTGAGCCACTGTGCCTGGCTTTTTTTAATTTTTAATTTTTGTGGTACATGATAGGTGTATATATCTGTGGGGTATGTGAGATATTTTGATAAAGGAATGCAATGTGAAGGCAGAAAAAAAAAATTTTTTTTTTTAGACAGTGTCTCACTTTGTCACCCAAGCTGGAGTGCAATGGCCCAATCATGGCTCACTGCAGCCTCAACCTCCCAGATTCAAGTGGTCCTCCTGCCTTAGCCCCCCAAGTAGCTGGAACTACAGGTACATAACAGCACCTCTGGCTAATTTTTGTAGAGATGGAGTCTCACTGTGTTGCCCAGGCTGGTCTCGAACTCCTAAGATCAAGTGATCTGCTCACCTCGGCCTCCCGAAGTGCTAGGATTACAGGCATGAGCCACCACACCTAGCCTTCTCAGTACCTTTAATGTGCATTATTATAATTCTCCTAGAGGGGGCCTGTAAAGATTGCATTTTTCCACACTTGATCTTGGATCCTTTACTCCTTCAAATAATATAGTATCTAGGTTTTCTTCTAGGATTTTTTATGGTGTTAAACCATTCAGGACATAGACATAGGCAAGGACTTCATGACTAAAACACCAAAAACATTGGCAACAAAAGCCAAATTAGACAAATGGGATCTAATTAAACTCCAGAGCTTCTGCACAGCAAAAGAAACGATCATTAGAATGAACCAACAACCAACAGAATGGGAAACAATTTTTGCAATCTACCCATCTGACAAAGGGCTGATATCCAGAATCTACAAAGAACTAAAGCAGATTTACAAGAAAAAAAAAACATCCAAACCCATTCAAAAGTGGGCAAAGGACATGAACAGACACTTTTCAAAAGAAGACATATATGAGACCAATAAACATATGAAAAAATGCTCATCATTGCTGGTCATTAGAGAAATGCAAATCAAAACCACATTGAGATACCATCTCACGCCAGTTAGAATGGCAATCATTAAAAAATCTGGAGACAACAGATGCTGGAGAGGATATGGAGAAATAGGAACACTTTTATACTGTTGGTGGGAGTGTAAATTAGTTCAACCATTGTGGAAGACAGTGTGGTGATTCCTCAAGGACCTAGAAATAGAAATTCCATTTGACCCAACAATCCCATTACTGGGTATATATCCAAAGGATTATAAATCATTCTATTAAAAAGACACATGCACACGTATGTTCGTTGTGGCACTGTTTACAATAGCAAAGACCTGGAACCAACCCAAATGCCCATCGATGATAGACTGGACAAGGAAAGTGTGGCACAAATATACCACGAATACTATGCAACCATAAAAAACGACGAGTTCATGTATTTTGTAGGCGCATGGATGAATCTGGAAACCATCATTCTCAGCAAACTGACACAAGAACAGAAAATCAAACACCACATGTTCTCACTCATAGGTGGGTGTTGAACAATGAGAACACATGGACGCAGGGAGGGGAGCATCACACACTGGGGTCTTTTGCAGGAGGACTAGGGGAGGGACAGCAGGGGGTAGGGAGATTGGGGAGGGATAACATGGGGAGAAATGCCAGATATAGGTGACGGGGGGAGTGGGGGAGAGGAGGATGGAGGCAGCAAGCCACATTGCCATGTATGTACCTATGTGACATACCTGATTTGTACAGGTATCTCAGAGCCTAAAGTACAATTTAAAAAAAAAGAATATAGTATCTAAGGGATATCCTTTGGGAAAAACCGAACTAGTAAAATAGAAAGGATTTTGTATTATTCTTTCTGTCTCAAAATTTGCACATTGTCCAGTTGCATATTAGGTACTTGTTAATTGATTATTGAATGAATAGGATTGATGGGCAGATGATAAAGGGACTGAATCTTTGGGGAAGGGAAGAGTCAAGCCCTATTGAGAGGTACAAGGAGAAAGAAAATTGCATACTATAAAAGTTTATAGCCTATTCTGACTTCTCTCCAGCTTTGAAACTTTTTTTCCCCCTTACTGCTTTTTCATCCATTGTCCTAAGGCCTATTTCCACAGTTTATCTCGATCAGTTAGGATACAGTTTAGTATAATAACATCTACATTTTTGGAGTCTTATTGCAAAGACCCTGTATGAGATGGTCACCTGATCAGGATCATTTAATTGCAACTAGATTTTCAGCTTTTTAGGGGCAGGGACACACTCAGTCATGATTGTTTTCTCCATTATACTGTGTACTCAGTATTCAGTATTTGAGTAGGTGAATACATTTATTCAAGTATTAAATAAGATTCTTAGAGCATGGTTCTTTTTGCTAATGACATACTTCCCTCTCCTCTATAGCCAGTGTGCATTAGGAGTAAGATCTGTATCCTCCATTTCCATGTCACTTACTTCCGAATTTATCTTATTTTTATTTTATTTGAGACAGAGTCTCATTCTGTCACCCAGGCTGCAGTGCAGTGGTGCGATCTTGGCTCACTGCAACCTCCACCTCCCAGGTTCAAGCGATTCTCCTGCCTCACCCTCCCGGGTAGCTGGGATTACAGGCTTGTGCCACCATGCCCGGCTGATTTTTGTATTTTTAGTAGAGAAGGGGTTTCACCATGTGGCCAGGTTGGTCTTGAACTCCTGACCTGAGGTGATCTGCCAGCCTCGGCCTCCCAAAGTGCTGGGATTACAAGCTCAGCCACCGTGCTGGGCCTCTCCTAGGTAAATTTTTTAAGCAAATGTACCTTTTTATAGTTTCAGTTTGACTGTTATTTTCCACTCCGTGCCCTCCATTTGGTTTTGGAATTCTTTTGCTGTTTTCCTTTGGAATAGTATTTAGAAGCACAGGCTTGGCATTAGACAGAGTTGGTATTCTAGTTAACTATATTTTTATCTGAGGGTTATCTTAATCTTTTGTTGGAAGTTCTGGCATGTGAGCATGATACACACAATTAAAAAGTTTCTTGAGAGTTGTAGAGGGCTGTAGAGTCAATGATTTGAATGTCAGTGCTGTGATGAAAAAGTTACAGATTAGTATAAACCTGAACTGACACAACATTGTTTCATGAGGCCTTTGTTTTTAATAACTACCTATTAAAAACTGGCTTGTTCCTTGTTCTTCTTCCCTTAAAATGTGAAGTTAATTCACATTGACTGATGGTCCCACATAGAGTCCTGATTTTAAATGTTCACTGTATTTAGCTTTCCCTGGTATAATTTCCATATAGGTAGAGTACAGAGAGATGGATGAAAGCTTGGCCAACCTCTCAGAAGATGAGTATTATTCAGAAGAAGAGAGAAATGCTAAAGCAGAGAAGGAAAAGAAGCTTCCCCCACCACCTCCTCAAGCCCCCCCTGAGGAAGAAAACGAAAGTGAGCCTGAAGAACCATCGGGTGAGTTGTAGTATCCAACCACAGTTCTGTTTTGTTTTAGAAATAAGAAGGAATGGATTTATTTCCATTCTGCAATATTATTTATGTCTGCATCTTTGGTTTATACTCTGATATTGGGGCTCCTGCCATGTGTGTCTTTGTTTGTGTGTGTATATATATACATGTATATGTGTGTGTATGTATACACATAGATATATAGTGGTACTGATATTCTTTTTGTGTATCTGTACAGGAGGAAAGTAAAGGATGGGAATGGAAGGACAGTGGCAATATAAGGTGGTCGGAAAGTAGGAAAAAATAAATGATTAGAGAAAACATACAGAAAGCCAAATCCAAAGCACTGGACCTCTCAGTGACAGCTCTAATTCAGAATTTTTTCTGGCTAAATGATATATGTACCATGTAGTTAGATACTTTGATAAAACCTTCATGATGTGGATCAGTTCTGAGAAGTGCCTTTTCCTGGTGAACAAATGTAAAAATATATTCTAGGCCAGAAAATCTAAGCTCACACAAGCTTCCTTATATCCTAGAAAGATTATGGGACTCTATAGTTTTGGTTTCAGAGCTTCAAACAGCTTTAAACAATTCTCACTAACATCTCAATGGTGAGTACTAGCTTTCCGAGAATGGCTGGACCAATCAGGGATACAAAGCTTTCTGTTTTGGAGAGACCAAGCAAAAGCAATATTTTAATGAATTTTTGTATCTTGTGCCCTTAATGATATTTTATTTACTCTTCTTGACTTTGAATTTTTACTGAATTCCTCTTAACATAATTTTTATATTTTGAATAGCCCCAGACCCACTCATCTCTCCATTTCTTTTTTTGTCCTATACCTTTTAAAAACAATTTGATGGTTTCAGCCCCCATCTGCTGGATCTTTCATGACTTTTGTAGGTACCCAAGATTAGGACATACTTCATTTAATAATTTTTTTCTTTTGTTTTAGCCTCTTTTTTTTTTAAATTTTTTTCTCCCCTGTAATGTTACTGTGAATTACCTACTGATGCTTCACTTGACGGCATTAACCAGTCAAGTGTTATTTTAGGTTTGGAGCTTATCAAAGTCTGGCCAGAACTGAAAAATCAATTTTGTAATTTATAGGATTATAATAAAGTGTAGTAAACAATGCAGTTTGAGAACATTCAGAAAAAGATAGATTAGATTCTGGTTTCAGTTCATTCAAAAGTCAGGGGTTTTCTAAGAAGAGTGGTTTTCCTAAAACTTTCTTAAAATGATTTCTTGGGCAACTCCTCATTGGAAGATTTCTAGTGTCAGTGGTATATCACCTTTGGGGCTAATGTCCCCCAGGCAAGTGTATCTGCCTTTTTACTTTAACTACACCTTCTCTCATTGTTGATTTTTCTTCTTCTTTCCAGTCTTACACATTTAATTCTCTTCTTTCTGTTCTTACCTCCAACCTTTCCCTTTGCCCTTTGCTCTTTTCTTCGTATTCTTTTTAGCTCTTACATTTGTTTCTTCTATCGTTGCTGTAGACCTGCTGATGAGATACTTGGGGATAACCCTTTTAATGTCTGTCGTGGCTCAAGAGTGAGCTGACCTCTTAGTTCAAGGGTTCTAAGTATTATGCAATGATGATCTGATACCTGAGATGCTGCCTCACCTTTTTTGTGTGGTTTTGTCTTCAGTAAATAATTGATTTACCATAGGTTCCAAGTTGATAAACTTTTCTTTGTAAATTTTAAACCAAGTCTTGTTGTTGCTGTTTTCTTTTTTCTGAAAGGGTTTTTGTTTTTTAATTTCATAAATATCAGGCATTGTTCCCACAAAAACTAAATTCTTAGCAAAAGGATTTAGGATTTGGGAGCTGTCTTTATTGTGATCTAGTTAATTCTAATGCAGTGGTTTAGTTTAAATTATCTTTGGTTTTGGGGGGAAGTTAAAGTTTTAAGTTGGTATCTTCAGTGCTTAGAAATGTACTGATAACAGCCAAAACTTGCTGATATATTATTTGTGATTATGAAAATAGTTATTGCTCCTTTAAAACAATTTAATGTTTTTTGAAAATTTCTGGGGTGATTTGGGGATGTACATTTCGCTAGAAAAGAGTGTCAACGTACTGGCCTAAACTACTTTGTAGTTTAGCAATAGACTGGGGCCCTGATGGTGAATCATAAAATATATCATAAAATAATTAAGGTGAGTCAAATATTTGGACACTGTCCAGGGTTTCTAAGTCTTTTGTCTTATCATCTTTCACAGGAGTTTTTGGTCAAAAATTGAGTGGAAGTATTGCTTTCATTCAGTGACCATATTAAAAGCTTGAGAGAAGATGTGGGTTTGTCTTTTTTTGGGAGATGGAGTCTCATTGTTGCCCAGGAGGCTGGAGTACAGAGGCATGATCTTGGCTCCCTGCAATCTCTACCTCCCGGATTCAAGCGATTCTTCTGCCTCAGCCTCCTAAATAGCTGGGATTACAGATGTGCACCACCACACCCAGCTAATCTTTGAATTTTTAGTAAAGACAGAGTTTCACCATGTTGGCGAAGATGGTCTTGATCTCCTGACCTTGTTATCCACCCGCCTTGACCTCCCAAAGTGCTGAGATACAGGGGTGAGCTACCGTGCCTGGCTTGTGGGTTTGTTTCTTTACCAAACCTTTTCTTGTTCTCAGTCCTTTAGGCAATCACTAGAAATTAACTTATTCTGTCAAAAAAAAAAAAAAACAGATAAGGGCTGGCTGGGCTCTTAGCACTTTGAGAGGCCGAGGCGGGTGCATCACGTTTCCACTAAAAATACAAAAATTAGCCAGGTTTGGTGGCGCATGCCTGTAATCCCAGCTATTTGGGAGGCCGAAGTGGTAGAATTGCTTGAACACAGGAGACAGAGGTTGCAGTGAGCCAAGATTGTGCCACTGCACTCCAGCCTGGGTGACAGAGCAAGACTCCGCCTCAAAAAAACAAAAACAAAACTAAGGTTTGAATACATTTCATTCTTAACAACTTTTAAATTTGTTTAGAAAAGTTTGCTTTGCGTTCTGCAGTATATTAATCTTAAGAGGAAGAAAATATTTTGTTAATTACGAAAACACAAGGAATTCTGAAGTCAGTGGGTCAGTTTGACTGGAGAAGTTTCCTCCGGGAGAGTACTGAGAGGAAGCCAGAAAGATGGGAGCCAAATTGTGAATAAGCCTGGCTTGATTGACTAAGCCAGGCTAAGGAATTTGAGCATTAGGAGTGTCAGGGGTAATCCTGAAATTTTTTGAGCTAGGAGGGTTGTACTGAAATAAGTTTTTGGAAAGATCAATCCTCATGCCCTCTAAGGGTGAACTAAAGGAGTAAAGAAGCTGAGATTGGAGAGATAATGTAGGCTATTGGTCAATGGAAAAATGTTCTTAATATCAAAGTTGAATTTTTATGGAAAGAAGAAGTTTGGGTGTTTTTGTTTGTCTGATTGAACTTATTTAATTGGGAGGAAGTTCTCTCTGTTGACTTAAACATTGTTTTTAGATTTGCCAATTTTTGTTCATAACAATGTGGCATTGTAGTCCTATGGTAGTCGAAACGGGTAAATAATGGATTTTTCATACCAAATATTACTGTTTATATTTTAAAACTACCTCATTTTTGTTTTCCTCAACATTTCCATGCATTTTTAAATTTACTATACTTTTGAATATATTTGTTTTAACAAATGATGGTTTTATTTGGTTTCCTAGTACCTTTTCTGTGAAGATGAAGGCTTTTTTAGATCATGCCAAAGTAAACTTGAACAGGTTGTCTTTGGAATTGAGAGTGTTTGGTTACTAACAGTGTCACATAATTGTGGAGCATTTATAAAATAGAGTCAAATCTCATTCATTTGTACTTCATTGATTTAGAATAATTGTCCTCTGGTAAAGTACTCTTCCATTTTTTGGAGAAATGCCTTTTTCCTGTCTTTGCTCAGATCGTTACCGTGTATACCTTACATTATTTTCCTCAGTGAGTTTTACATTCCTGTATTAACTGATTTGCCCACACTTGTTTTTTTTATTTTCAGATGGAAACATGATTCGATTTTTTTCCCCCTCCACTGCCTTTCAGCAGTTAAAATTTACCAGAAAACTCTTACTAGTTAGTTCCTGGATTTACATTTTTTATTGGGTAACTTTTCACTAGAGAACTCAAGATATATTCTGGGTTAGAAGTAGCTTAGTTGTACATAGCCTGAGACTTTAATGAAACTTATTCCAAAATAAGTAAAAGGAAATAAGAAATGGGTTATTAAGATGCCTTCTCAAGCCTTCTTCAAGTTAGTGTATTTCTCAGTAGAGGCATCAGAAGTGTGATTGTGTGTGTATGTGTATATGCATGTGAGTGTGTATATCATTTTTCTAGGCTCAGTGATGTCCTAATACTTACACTCTACTGAAGCTAAGAGGCTTCTATTAAGTCATTGGTTAACTCTTGAAATAGATTTTGTTAGATATGATTGGTAACAAGTCTGTATTATAATTCATTTTATGGAATGACCATGGGAAGAATCACTTTCTCTCGTTTATATTCTTATGTGTACCAGAGGAAGCTGTCTTCTCTATTACATATGGTAATTTTAAAAGTTTGTAGGTGTGTGTTTTAAAAAGATGTAGGCTGTTTTTTTGTTGTTTTGTTTTCGTGGTTTTTGTTTTGTTTTTGAGACACAGTTTCACTCATGTTGCCCTGACTGGAGTGCAATGGTGCAATCTTGGCTCACCACAACCTATGCCTCCTGGGTTCAAATGATCCTCCTGCCTCAGCCTCCTGAGTAGCTGGAATTATAGGTATACCTCACCATGCCCAGCTAATTTTGTATGTTTAGTAGAGACAGGGTTTCTCCATGTTGGCCAGGCTGCTCTCAAACTCCTGGTGTCAGGTGTGAGCCACTGAGCTCTGTCAGGTTTTTAAATAAATTAACAAAAATCATTGATGTGAGAGAGTGGTATGATAAAAAACTTAATTAATTTGGGGCTTGTTCACACAATAGTCATACTGTAAGTTGAAAGGATTTTAAAAAT